TACGCGAATACAATACCATACACACAAACGCCCCCGTGTACTACACGATATCGTCGTCTCTCTCTCTCTCTCTGCGTGCGCAAGACTGCGGCAGATGCGAGACAGACAAACATTGTGCCATCGCGCGGCATACGCGTCCGTGGTACTTGTGCTCCGTGCGCGAGAGAACCGCCTGCTCGATTATTTTAGCTTTTTTTTTATTTCATTCACGTGTCGAAGAGTAGTGCTCCCTCGAGACCTCGGGGATGTACATTTTTATATCTCATGGCCCGAGCGCGTTGGGGAGGATTTCGTGCGCTTCCATAAATGATGATACAATTTTGAGAAAATCTTTCGCACGATAAACATCTTTCGAGAAAAAAAGTTCAAGAATATTGCATTTTTTTTTTCCATCTATTTTTTATTGTGCCATGGAAAAATGATGCTCGATGCAGAGCAAACGCGATATTGCGCTTTACATTTGCTATCGCGTGGCTGACGATCAAACAAATCGTCGGCGATCGTTGTATCGAGTTTCAAAAAAGGCTCGTGTAATTTTGATTAGCCGGTGGCCAGTTCACGCGATTGAAAGGACTCACCCCCTTAGATGCGAGCCAACCTGCCGGCGTTAGTGAAAGCCACGCGCGCTCCTTTCTCCGACTCTCTCTCTCTCTTTTTGAACACTTGAAAAGTAAAGAAGAGAGGGAGAGAGCAAAAAAATTAAACGAGCATTGAATAGCGAACGATCAAGATATAATGGCAGAGACGAGGTCGATAAACGCGTATCGCATAATAGCTCTGTTGTACAACCCCAGAGCGGTATCAATACGATACCACGAGTAGGCCGTATACGCGTGCACCCCCTTGAAACGGTGGCGGCGGTAGCGTCAGTAGGCGAACAAGATATAGTGTGGCAGCAGTCGGGTCAGGTTGGTTCGGCTCCAAGGGGGGGAGCGAGGGGGCCATCGTCTCGTCGTCCTGTTGGGTTAACCGCACGCTCATTGTTCGATTATTATTTTGCAACATATCGCGCACTTGTTACCTTCGTTGTCGCACCATATCTCTCTCTCTGTCTCTCTCTGTGTTTCTCTCCCCGCGAGTCGATGAGGCGCGCTTATGGCTCCTATACACATAACGTATATATTTTAGCCTACGCGCGACATACGTATCGGATAAAAAGTCGAGCATCGGTTTCAATTTCGAGGACTCGTTTTCGGGTGCTGTCCCCGACTCGAGCAAGCGCAGCATCCATCGTGTATACGTGTTACGAGCGTGCAGTGACAGAAAGTCGAGTCCGACTCGATGGTTTTTTGCCGATACGACGCGTGTGTATGCTGCTGCTGCTGCTGCTCCAAAATGTCTTACCGATCAGAATGCCCCCCGAGCCTCGGTCCCAATCGCCACTTGCCATTCTTTCGATAATTAGTAATTATATGCAGTATCGGACTCGCGCGCAAATTCCCACAGCCGCGACTGTCGGTAAATTAATAGGCCAATAAAAGTGTGAGCCGCGTTGAAATTGCGCGCTGCCTTTGGTCGCTCGTCGGCGACTCGCCTCTCTGCCACCGGAGAGATGTTCGAGTACGAGCTCCCGAGCCCAAGGATCGCTGCCTGAGAAAGGTCTGAACTCGACGAGAGAGAGAGAGACTGGAATTTACGCAATGTCAGACTCGCCGACGTCGTTATTTAAACGAGATCAGCGGCGATTTTCGGTGAGAAAATGACATCGTTTTCGGACTCGCCTGCACTTGTCGCGACTAAATGGCATCAACGTTATGTACCGCGGGACCTGCTGACTCTGCGCGTGATAACGTAGCATCGCACCTGAGATAGGAGGGAAAAATCCAAAGCATCATCGGCAGCGCCCCGAACGATTGTTCGCGCTTTACAATGAGCACGTCGTTGCAGCGCCAGCCAAGCTGCAATCGCAGAGCCGAGCAATCTAAAAGTCCGATTCGCCTCACAAAGAGAAGTAAGGCTTGTTCTGGCTCGAGCTGTGGGTCGCGCGCGGCGCACTAAGCCTAATCTTCGACACACATTATCCTATAGGATATATATGTAAGAAATCCTGTGGCGCGCGTGCCTCGCTGCCTCTCGCCAGCACCATTCATTACACATCCTCCCCGAAAACTTTCTCTCTCCCTCTCTCTTGGATTCGCTCTCGACACGCTGCTCCGTAAGCATATTTATATTTTAAGGATATAATACGCAAGCAGAGGTCCATGCCGGAGAGGTCGAAAAACATCTGCGGCAGCTGCGAGGCGTTCTCTCTCTCTCTATATATATGTGCGAGGTGAGCGGCAGGTGTTGTTGTTAGGCTGTACCTCGACCGATCTTGCTCTCTCTCTTCTCTTTTCTTTTTCTGCTTCTTCTTCTATTGCTTCTTATTTCTTTTCTCTTCGGCGTTTCGGTGGCCCGCTACCTGTGCTGTATGTGCGTACGTGTGCAGCCTGCAATAAACGCGTGCCCCTTGCCAGTTCTGATGCGATGATTTTTTTTCCATTTCTTTCCTTCTGCTTTTTCGTTGATTCTTGATCGATTTTCATGGCGCTTTGCTTTGGTTCGACGTTTGCTATGTTCGGAAAACTTGCGATCTTACTTGGAAAATTCAAAATTATTCTGAATTACAGTCTGCACTTTGAATCGCGTATTTTAGTGGTTTTCGAAAGTTTTGTCGAATGTTCAAGTCTATATAGGCCATAGTTCAAACGCGTCTTCTTAGCCAAAGAACTTGAACTAGGCGAGCGCATTGTTGAAGAGAAAGAGAGATAGTCGTCGATGGCATCAATGACACGAGGCATTTATTCAACGATGCTATCTGATTCCAGCTGAAAGCCGACGAAAAAAAGCAGCGGCAGCGGCGGCTATACGAGACCGACAAAATTATTTCTGCCTCGAGGATGCGAGACACGCGAGTAGTCAATTTAAAAATATATCTATACACGTATATAAACTCGGCACAGCACAATATAATATGAGTCGGCTCGTTCCATGCACCTCCCACCAGAAAGCCAAATCGCACCAACTGCCACTGCAGCTTGAAAGCAGCGACAGCAGCAGCAGCAACAAAAAATCCTCATCTTTGATCGGGCGCGCGTCCCTCCTGGCCACAACGCACATAATACACAAGCGAAGCGAGCGTGTGTGTGCCATCCATATAGCAATATAAACAGATTACACACTGGGCTGCGAGAGCCTTCGGAAATATTCTTTTATTTTTATTTTTTTTTGTTAAGGCTTCTCTCTTGTGCTCGCGCACGTTTCGGAGGGACCGAGACATCGGCGCGCACCTTTCGGGCCACGCGAACGGCACGCGTATGCCGACTTTTTCGATAAGACATAGCCGCGCGCGCGCGCGAACATCTGCCGAAATTCAAAACCGGTCGAACGTGCTTCAGATACGTATATTCATTTAGCTCTACATGTATGTTGTACAAGTGAAGTAGCGAAGGGAGCACCGTATTATATTGGTAACGATTACTGCGACTAAAAAATGATTTTTCGAAGGAATATGCCGTGGCGCGCGACGTTTCGTACGCACGTACGGGCCTTCGAGAGGAAGTTTGACCGGATGTCGACGTGACTCTTAGCTGATTTACAAAACGTATAGACTGCAGCGATAGACTGTACAATCACGAGGATCTAACGAAATTATACAGACTTTCGTGTCTTTCTCTAGAGTGAGATCTTACGACAGCTCTAAGAGTTACATCAACGATGATTTTAAATTAAGCCAAGGGAAATCATATACGTATTTTATAGATTTTTTTCCCTCTACACCCGCACGGCCAATTTCGCACGCAATGTGAGATGTATAAGTGCGACAGAAGTCAGCAAGTGTAACTTTTTTCCTGCCACCACCAACTGTTACGCGTAAAAAATACTTTTTTTCAAATCGGAGCATCGTGCGATAATCCCGCGGACATTCAAGGCATATGTCTGTTGATCTGTATATATCTGTATTATGCAAAGCAACATATCGGGCTTACATTGTCACGCAGACGAGAGGTGGCATAGCCGGTGGCGCTTAAAAAGTCGACTGCTTCTTTTTTTTCTCCCATTCCATACGAAAACATCGACTTTTGTCGAGAGCGGCACTTTTTTCATACGCACGCGTGACACATCGTAACGTATAATATTCGTAGTATATGATACACTGAGTGGAGGAGGCGAGTAGACTCCTGATCGTCATACAGTCGATTTCCGCGCAGCCTCAGCCCCCCGGATCCAAATATTTACATAGCTGCGCGCGGAGCCGTGCAAGACTCGAGCCATCATGGTAGGCTTCGTCTTCTCCGCACTCGATCGAGACTAGCAAAAAAATTGAACTCGCTCTCGACAACGACGACGACAAAAACTATGCATGCGGGCTTTATGTGAAAAAAAGAACGTCAGAAGCATTATCAAAGCTCGCGAGGTCCGTCGGCCGGGCCCGGAGAGAACGTTATAAAGCGAGAAACAAGTCAAACAAACACCGTTAATCCTCGGGCAGATGACAAGAGGGAGGGCACGAGTCCGGAGGCAAGCGCGCGTTCCTTCTTCGTCGTCTTTGCTCGTCATCGAGCAAGCGCCGAGAGTCGTCTTGACGCATCGTCCAAGAGAAGAAAGATAATTGGCCCAACGAGACTCGCAATTAGAGACTCGATGCTCGTGCTTGCCGTACATATATAGTGTATATAGTGCAGCTGCTACGGAGCAGGGACGATTTTTGATGATAAATTCGTCCATTAAACAGTCATATACCGGCATGTATAGAAGAAAGTTATGGGTCGAGCGACTCGGGGCCTTTCGACAGCGGCGGGCTTAGAAGCGAGTGACAATTTTCCGCCGCGTAAATTTTTCAAAAGCTCGTTTCAGCTCGCGATAAGAGAAAAAACGAGTGCATATTCCATGTACGTGTACACCGTCGAGCAAAGTGGCTCGAGTCGCTGTACGCGCGTCTGGCTGTGTGCGTCGCGTTCGTCATAAAGCATGGCATGGTATACGAGTGTGTGTGTGTGTGTGTGTGTGCGTGCACTTACCCGTAAATCATAGCGGCTCCGGCGATGCCTCCGCCGCATTGGGCTGCGATGTAGAGGCCTGCGCGCAAAGGCGATACCATTCTGGAGAGGGCGAACGACACCGACACGGCTGGATTCACATGGCCACCTGTCGAGAGCGGGGCAGAAAGCAAAAATTCTTCCTCATTATCATCGTCTTACGAGCTCACCTTGTGCGGGGGCAGGAGTAGACAGGGGTGGGCAACGAGGGGGGAGGGGATACATATAGGATTGTGGGGTCGCAGTGGCGTTAAGTGTCGCGCAAATTGTTCGAATCACGTGCAAAAAAGGGGGGAAAAACGACAGGCGATCGTAGACGTTTGAATCGAAACGCGTCGAGTAAATATTGAAATCGTTTTTACTCAAGGAGTCTTAATTCAAGCTTAGTATAAAAGATTGCATTGTGTTTTGAGATGAATTTCTCTTTTTCTTCGTATACCAAGTGAATGAATGAATGGATACAAGTCTTATTTTTTCGAGAAAAAGAAAGGCAATGATTTAAGCACGTTATTATTATACAGCAGGCCGCAATAAAAGATCGATGTTAGCTCATTGAAAAGTTGCATCGCGAGGCAAGGCCATAATTCCGGTGGCGGTGGACGTCAAAGGTACGGGAAAAGCTCGATCGAGTACAAGATGAAAAACTCACCACTGACAGGGCCGAAGACCATCTGTACCGCGGCAATGGCGAAGCCGGCGCTGAGGCCCGTGGCGAGCACGTTGAGGCCGAAACTGCTCTGGCCCATGGACACGCCAGCCCCGGCGACGACAAAGACGAAGAGGAAGGTGGCGAAGCACTCGACGGCCACGGCCCGCCAGAGCTCCATGCTGCGCGCCTCCGAGGCCATGGGCTGCTTGCGGTCCAGCTGGTGGGGCTCGTCCCGGCGACGTCGCTGCTGCGACTGCGAGTTCTCGCGCAGCTGGGTCAGTTTGCCCAGCAGCGTGACGATGTTCTGGTCGAGGTCGCGCGAGATGTTGAGGCCCGTGGCCACTGGTCCAGCGGCGTTGGCCACGCCACCGGCCCCGGAGCTCGACGACGTGGGTGCCATCCTTTTTTTTCGCTTTTTATTTATCAACTCCTTTTGTGGAACAAACACACGACGTTACGATTCACCTGCGATCGAGTCACACTTTGCACGCACTTTGATCCACGCTTATAGCGGCGAGTCTCAACGACGACTCAATATTTGTTTACAGCCATGAATGATCGGCACTCGGGGCAGTAGTCTCGTTGCTCCGCTGTTACATGTATGATATTGTTATTTACGTTGCGTACACACACACGCGCGGGCGCGAGCAACGACGACGAGGAAGCAGGGGTAGGTCGACTGCCGACTGCGCGCGACCAAAATCCGCACACGAGTGATTCGAGCGCACTGCCCTCGACGCGCTCCTGCCGCTCCGTTCGGTGCCTCGTGCCCGCGATGATCCCCCAGTTGCTCCGACTTGCCGCGCGCTCTCTACGCTGCCAAACACCCCCACCATCTCGCTGCGCTCCACAAGCATGCCACCGTCTGTATACGCACACCGATTCATCCTCCTGCGTGTCTGGCCTCATCGCTCGGTCTCTGTGTGTGTCAAGTGTGCCTGTGTAAGTATGTGGATGAAAAGCAGCTGTTCAATGGGCAAACGGTGCAGCTTACATCGCCTACTGCGATCATTACCTTAATGCAACTTTCGCCTCTTGTATTTTGCACCACGACGCTCAGCTTGTCCTACCTGGAAAAATTTATTCATTTCTTTAAATTATTTAATCATATCATTCATTGACTTCAAGAGTATATTAATTCGATATTTTGCTTTTTAGCACTGTATTTTTTCTTCAAAAGAAACATTTAGACACATGCTCGAGCAGCTCAAGTGAACCGGCAGGTTTTTAAGCGAGTCGTGCTGCCTCATTACAATATGAATAGACATGGAGCTACCTCGTAAAAATAAGCTTGAATCGGGCGTGAAGCGATTTTAACTTGAAAGTGTAATAATTAAAGATATGCTAATCAGTTTTGCGATTTTTAGATCGATTCAAGGAACATGTCTCCAAAAATGAAATTCGCATTCGATCAGTTAAAGAAAACGATTTATACGATACGAGCTGAGCATTACAATTTTTCGGACTAACACCGTTCAATCGGTCCAGAGGACGATAAAATTCAACGAGCCATCATTTTTCATATTTTTTCCGACTTTACAAGCGTCGAGCGTCATTTCTGAAATTTTCATCTCGCGGACACACGCGTCGCGCTCGCTCCGAAGAATTGTCCATTGAAAACAGGCGCGAGTAATTACCGGACAGCATTAGAAGGAACCAGCGCGTTTTCTCGCGCTTCTAAGAAATGTTGCCCATTGAAATCGTCAAATCAGATAATTTATGTCGAATAAAATTGCTCGATATATTATAATTTATGAAGTTTTCGGTCGAAAACATATATAATATTTCCAGCAGATCGAGGCTCCAAAGATGTTGATCCGTTTCGTCTAATGGTTGCAACATTAGGGCGCTCCTCCGACCGCCTTCACTCGTTCTCAATATATTTTCAGGCATACACACAAGGCGCATGTGTACATACACCATGATCGCGCGCATACGCAGCAAGTTTTTGGCCTGATGGGCCTGCACAGAGCCTCGGCATCTGCCTCTTTTCTTCTCTTTCCCTCTCCTACTTTGCGTCCAGGGATATAAAGTACATTTCAGACCCTAAATTCGAGAAGAAGAAGAAGAAGAGAAAAGATAGTCATCGCGGCGCGACAACTGCACACACGTACTAATGCACATACATACGAGCGCAGCTTGCTACAATCATCAGTCTGCGGCAAGATGGTCAATTTTTCCTCTCGTTCCTCCGCCGCCCTAAGCTTCAATCATATTATTCGCGTTATGTATCCGGAGAGTCGTGTGCGATGCAGCCATGCACGTGACCGAATTCGACTGCTGCCACTCGGACGTGCGTAAACTGTCGCAAATATCAGTTTCTCCTAGTCGACTTTTATAGAGATTCCATTTGGATGTTTCGAAGGATTCTTCTAGGAAAATTCGAGCTATGTATTCGTCGATATATTTAATATTGAAAAAGATTGAAATATGTGCGGGCACGCTTTAGAGGGCAGGAGAGGGAGAGAGAGCCTGAATAAACACGAGCTACAAGACTCGCTTCTAAAATACACAACAAAGGTTTCTTACCGAATTGGGTGAACAGAGAAAGAGAGAGAGAGAGTATTTCGTCAAGCGAGCAGCATGACGTGTGTTTGAGCGATTTAATTAATTCCAAGAGGCCACTCGTACAGTTCAATATACGCATAAAGCACAATATATATATGAAAAAATGAGTCGATTTGGCCGAATGTTTTGCTCTCGCACATAAATGCGAGCAATATCGTCACGGTCATTTTGTTAATCGCCAAAAATTATCGTCGGCTTTTGCGTAACAATACACCGCCGAGGCCAATAGCAACCAAAGTGCAGTACGCGCGGCATTTCGACGAGTGTAATTGTATATCGGCCCTACAACACAAGCGCGCCAATTATTACTGCGTAGTTATTCGATAAGCCCTCAAGTGAGCCAAGTAAATGGCAAGGAGCACTCGAAACTCCTGCTAGTTCCCGATGTACATGTACATACATATTTTACCGAACAATCGCAAGGACTAGATACTGAAGAGAGAGAAAGAGAAAGAGAAAAGGGTCCTCGACCAAACATGGAGTATATAGAAAGTGCGCTATAATCGCGTGCAGTGACGAACTCGCGACCCTCGTGAGCAGCAATTGCAGCAGGCAAAAGCTGCATCGAGACGAGAAGAAATCGCGGAGCGCACTTGTGAGCTCGCTACCTCCATCGCGTTTTATATTATATATTCCAACATTACCTGCCGTGCACGTGTGTTATATTCACGACGTTCTTTGCCCCCCAACTTGATAAATATATCAGCTCTTCACTTTTCCCCTTATATACTCAACCAGTCACCTACTACGTTCACCTATAACTTGTATATTATAATATCTACTTTTGCTCGGAGCTGCGAGCTGACATGATAATATGATAAGCAGACCACAAGAGCTCCTGAATTTCAACTATACCTAATACATAGAGATACTGCGTGGCACGTATTCGAATGAATAAGATTAAAGCTGGTAGAATTTGTCGCTCCATTTTCATGGTAATTTGTGGTCAACTGAAATTACAAACCACAAGTAAACTTTACAATTTTTAATTGAAATTTCTTTAGAGGCGCTTGGTGTAAGGGGTAAATTCGGGAAAGGGGAAAATTCACAATTATGTGAAAATTCATAAATAATACTTAGCTCACTATGCACCAACATAATTTCTTCCAATTTATAGAGCGAATAATATTTTTAGTTTCTGTCGTAAAATTAGCTTTTTGTTACAATAATCAAAAATTGTAATTGGCTTAACCATTTATAGTACTCACCAGATTATTTTTTCTATGCGCTAGTTTACAGCATGTTTACATTGGTTAAATTATTAATTATATTATTATTATGAATGCAAACTAACGCAATACACACGTTCATACACATCAATTTGAAAGTACCAAAAGTAAAACTAGAGTCCTTTTTCTTGGTTGAATTTTCTTTTGGAATTTTTTTCAACTTTTTTGGGGCTTTATGTTAGTTTTTTGATTAAATAATTCATCTATAAGAACTTCAATTTATTTCTGGAATCTTTTAAAATTATATTATTAATTCACTTGGGTTTTAATGTTGGAATTATTTACATACTTGAATTTTAATTTTTTTGTGCTATTCTGTTGAAATTTCACTTCCCATTTCTGTTCTTTTAAATGACAGTTTATTTATTTTTACGAGATAGTTAGTAGATGGCTGAAATTCAACTTGCATGCGAACAGTCAATTAAGAAAGTTCAATGTATCGTGTAACAATTACCATACAATATTTTCATGATTTACCATAGGAATCGATGGCGAGTAACATAAGCCATGATTATCCGCTGCAGGAAACTTCTGCACCGACATTCACAGGATTACATACATTTTGATCAAAAATCAAATACTGCACATACGATTACTATAATATGATTGAAAAATATATGATTCATTACAATTAAATAAACTGTGCATACATAATTTCCCTATATGCGCTCTGAATGCTAAGCAAGTCGATCGGCTTACAGGACGATCGATCGGTGGTATGGGAAAGAATCAACACTACAGATTTCTGCAATAACTGAAACTCGATCGAAAAGTATTGGTTCAGATTCGTAACTCGGCCAATGGGATATATTTTGAGGCGAGCCGGTTTAGTGGTTGGCGAAAACTCCGACCCTATACACATGGCAACTCCGTGGTAAGCGATGAGAATCAAGCGAGCCCGGGACATCATTCCACGAACACAAGCAAAGTATGCAAGGCGAAGTTGCAAATGCTTGCCAAAAGTGTGTCACATAAAAGCGCGAAAGAATGGAGAAAAAAAGTCGCGCTTAATGCATGTAACACAGCAGAGAACCCCCGGCGAGCGCACAATGCTTTTTATGTGTTTGTGCATTATTATGTGCTACAGCTCGTTTCGTCTATTTCGCCTAGGTCTGTTTTTGAGCGCGCGCGCGGATGACCCAAAAAAGAGTCGCGGGGCCATCGATCCCCTCGTAATATTCTCTCTTCTATATTAAAACTCGAAAGAGGCTGAGATGCGCACGTGGCGCTTCGCATCATTATCTAATCTCTCGCCGAGAGTCTCGAGCTGTGCTCGATAATGAAGCGATTCAACACCTGTATGCCTTCCTATAGTTATACATAGCGTGACGAAAGATGCCAAGACTCGCAGCTGATAACTCGATTTGCGGCCTTTTTTCGTGTGGACGAGAGAGAGAGAGAGAGAAATGTGGGTGCTGGCTCTCGAGTGTACGTCGTTGACGTTGCACGAGTGTACTCGCGCTAATACATGCTACTCGTACACCTCCCGACGCCGCGACTATTGCACTGACTCACTTGATTAAAACACAAACACGCCTCTCCAGGCTACAGCCAAGCTATGCTCGTTTTCAGTCTCGTTGCGTGCACTTGAGCGCGTAGTTGCATCCTCCGTGTCTGCTTCCCTTCCCTGTATCGGCGTAACAGAGCATCGTTCCAAGTACGACCAAGCGTGTATTCTTCGTTCTTGTTTTACGTTGAAAATGTGAATCGTGAGAGTCGGAAAATATAAGGAGACAGGACATTGTGATGCTGTCAAAGTGCAAAGCCCGTCAGACGCTCGTCTTCGTACTGCGCTGCGACGCGTACGATCGTGTTTGACGTTTGCACGTGAATCGTGCCGATCAATCCCAGTCTACGACTTTCGGTAAGTTTTCTCTGACATTATACTTGCTCATAATTTTCAATTTGAAACGGGCCCACTTGGGCAAGTTAACTTTATAAACGAGCTGTAGTACGTACATTAATAGAACAGCCAAATTTTTCTGACAATCGTGCGCGCTAATCGATAAGAGAATCGATTTTTTTGCCGAGATAATAAAAAACGTGACTCAGAGCGCTTCCTGAATGAGTGTACAATGAACGTAAACTCGACGGGCAGGCGTCGAAGTACGTAAGTTGATTCACGAGCCGTACTCAATGAGAGAGATCCGCTTCAATGAAGCAACTGCAGCTCGAGTAAAGAGAAAGAAACAACAGCGGCTTAATTCGAGACGCACCTAAGATAATGACTGTATTAATTGACGCTACAACGAGATGTACGCTGAATTTTAGAATTCTTCCTGGTCGTTTGCATCTGCTAGTTTTCTTAAATTGATTGTTAAAAAATCACCTGTTAACTTGTAACCGAAAGAAGAATCGATCGGTCGTTTCACAAAAAAAAAAAAATACGAAAAGGTGACGGGGTCAACGACCGCGTACAAAAACATTCGGTGATTGAGACCGCGGCAGCCCATCGTTCAGTTACCTGTACTAAATCATATTATTATGAGAATGTCAAAGAACTTTAAATTTCAGCGCGTTCAAGCTCGATTTCATAAAAATTTGCACTCATTCGATTTTCAGGTGAATAATTAGGTTAACTAGGTCGAGCAGTCGAGAGTTCAAATTTCCGAATGGCAATAATCCAAGTGCATAATATTTAAAAACCGCGACGCTAGTTGGCAGGAAGTCGCGCGCGCGGTAACAATTTGACTTGCGACACGACTCTGTATATACACATCGACAAACAAAAGCGCCGAGCTAGAAAGCCGTGGAAAATAGCGAAAAAAAGAAACGAGAAAAAAAAGGAGAATAAGAAGGGGGAAAAAACGTCGGCAGCCCCCTTGTGGGTGCAACGAGAGTGCACGCGTGAAATCAAACGAAAAGCATCGCGATTCAAGAGTCGGGCAAAAAGCCCTGCACATGCACCTTTGTGAGCGCCTACACGAGGCTTAAAACATCCGTGCATATACTTTTACATATACGTTCACGCTCCCTTGGCTACGCTCGAGCACTTGTTTACGCACACACACACACACACACACACATGTATGCATTTAAACGGAGTACAGTGTAATGCAGCAGTGTACGTAAAGCAACGAGTCCGCTGCACTTTGCGTGAAAAGTACCTCCGCACGTATACAAATCGAGTTATTGCATTCCATAGTACGAGCCCCAAAGCTTCGCTCGCCTTCCGTGCGTGTGTGTCTCATGTATACGCGGCTTATGCACTACCTGCGTGCGCGTAATCGCACCATCATCTTCCTCTGCGCGTTATATTATTATCATATATGTATCGGATGGCACTACTTATGTGTAGCACACATAACGTCAACGTCCGTCGCTCGCCTGCACACGACTGAGATTGTGACGCGATGATTTCCAGTTTACTTACGCGTTCGCGCCCGCAGACTATCTATAAAAATGGAAAAAATTCATCGATTGCCCGACTTGCTCCGAATATAGTCTGTCAGATTCTGACTCGTACTTTTGAGGAACTTTAGAGAGCGAGACGGCCCCGCGATGCCAATCTCCCTCGAACTTTTTCGCTCGCCTCGGAAATCACGAGTGCGTAGAAAATTTATTCAAAGATCATACTCACGTCTGCGTGGGTATAGCTTCATTCACCCATACGGCCGTGCGAGTTGCGCTTTGTGTAACGCGAGTTATCGCGCCTTCGATCATTTTATTTTCACACTGGGGTTCACATATTACTGCGCTCCCCAAGAAAGATATGAGAGTACTGTTAATTATTCGAGTTCATATAGGTAGCATCGATAAATGAGAGAATGAAACGCGTCTCCATGTTGTCTTTTGTTTACCATTGTAGCGCTGTAAAGAAACAGGTAGCATATAATAGTTTACGCGCAACGTTATCGTAGTGTTGAGCAAGTGTCGGCAGATCGATTGAGCTACGCCGATAAGTCGCGCGCCTATCCATTGAAAACTCATATACCTTCGTAAACCCGACTCATGCAGAGTATCTATACCTGCAAATCTGCCTACGTTGTACATTCACTCTCGTTTGTTTCTTCGGCAGGAGCTGCTGCTGATCGTATACAGGTTTATATATGCTACTACCTATAATCAGCGGGGCCTAGCGCCGCCGCGTCGTTATGCGGCCGCGTTGGTAGCGCAAAATAACACTGACCACACGTTGTACACACACGCTACAGTGAGTATAGGTGTACCACGGAATATACAGTCTTCCAGTTAGCGCGAGGCGTGCTGACTCGCGGAGTGCGGACTTACTCTATACGGAGGATCGGAGAGCACACAGTACAGGCAAAGCGCGCGAACAGGGCGCGTCGAGTTCGCTGCGTAACCTGTGTTTACGTAAAGATGGCGGCGGCGCGCATCTATACGCTACCACTGCTGCTACTCGTCCTTCCGATTTTCGGACAGATTCGCGATCGGGACCAAGAGGCCGAGCGACAGCAACGCGAACGCGACCAGCAGGTCAGGAATCGATACAATAATGGCCCGTACTTCGGGCCCGTGGGTTACGGCCCGCCACCACCGCCTCAAGGACAGCAGACTTACTTTTACAAGGATCGCCTGTACGGCTACCATCCGAGCCCCTACGACACCTACAACTACAATCGTGAGCCGCCCAGGACGCACGAGGATAGATACCACTTTGATGTGAGTCCACTTCATTCTGATGAATTATTGTGGGTGTGGTTGTCACTCCGATACTTTACCGTGTTGTCTGTCTAACGATCTATCGCTTTGGTGTTTGTTGTTGTTGCTACTGTTGCGCGTGGTATATAGCGTTAGCCCTTCCTCGTATGTTGCCACTGCTATTAATGCTCCATCCCTTGTGTCAAAAATTTACTTACCTACAATTATTAAATTGCTCATTAGATAATCGAGTCTTTTATCATTAAATAATTAGATCGTGAAAACATTTTTTTCATTTTTTATTTATTCAGATTATATAAATAAATTTTTTATAGGTAACTGATAGAACTCCCTTACCTGGAGTACTTGGAGGATTTCGACCAGACCTTCAAGGAAGAGAACGACCTGACTCTAAAAACCTTGACCGAGATGTATTTGTTTCAACTCATTACGGAAATGTTCAAGGTTTCAAAGTATACCTTTATGATCATCCTGAAGCTAGACATAGACCATGGAGTCTTCCAGTTGAAAGAGTTACAGCTAGTGTCAATGTCTTCCTTGGAATACCATATGCAATGCCACCTACAAAAGATGGGAGATTCAAACCCCCAAGAACTCACAAGTAAGTTGTTGTTATAAAGATCATTTCAGTTCTGAAATCTAATATAATATAAATGTAATTCTCATATGGTATTTTCACAGAGGCTGGCATTTGATGCAGGCAGTGGATTGGGGACCAGCATGTCCACAACCTAGCCAATATACAGGAACTACAAAAGGAGTAAGGGATGTAGATGAGGATTGCTTGTATTTGAATATTTTTAGTCCAAATGTGAGTCATCTTTTATTATAAATATTTTGTTTATTTTCATTAAAAATATGTAAAAATTGAAATGAAATATTTTGCTTTTCAGGTAAACTCGGGCTTAGCAAGAAATTATCCTGTTATGTTTTATATTCATGGTGGAGAGTTCATTCATGGAGCAAGCAATCTGTTTCCAGCTCACATGCTTGCTGCATTTTATAATGTAACAGTTGTTACATTTAATTACCGTATTGGAGCTCTTGGTATTAATTTTACAATTCTCATTAAATGAGAATAGAACAAATCTAAATTTGTTCAGTTATTAATCATTTATTTATTGTTTACAGGATTTCTTAGTACAGGAGATGAAAATAGTCCTGGAAATTATGGAATACTTGATCAAGCAATGGCTTTAAGATGGGTTTATGAAAATATCAAATTCTTTAATGGAGACCCAGAATCGATTACCTTATTTGGTCCTGGAGCAGGTGCAGCTAGTGCTGGTCTTTTGATGGTTGCCCCAAGGTAATTGTATGATATTAAATACAATAAAAATAGGTTCTCATTTGAAACAATTTCAGAACTCGTCAGATGGTTTCCAAAGTTATTGCTCAATCAGGTTCAGCTTTAGCAGATTGGGCTCTCATAGTGGATAAGTATAGAGCTCAAAACACTTCTCGTGTCTATGCTGAGATGCTTGGCTGCAGTATTGAAAGCAGTTGGAAATTAGTGCAGTGCTTGAACGTTCGTTCGCCCTTAGAATTAGGTAATGCCGAATTTCAACCAAATGTAGGTATGTTTCCATGGGCTCCAGTGCTTGATGTCAATTTCACTATACCGAGAGACTATTACGATTCATGGAGTGCTTCTGATTGGCGTTTTTTCACTGAGGAACCAGAAGAAAGTATTAAGAAAGGAAAATATCGAAAAGATATTATGTACATGGCGAGTGTTACAACTCAAGAAGCTTCGTTTATTTTATGTAAGTAAATCGTTTTTGAAGATTGTACAAGTTTTAAAATTTACGTCAATTAAACGTTACTTTTTATTTTAGACAACAATGTGACATTAGCCAGAAATGAATATGTTATAACACCAGAAATGTTTGATCAAAAAATTTGGGAATTAGTTTTACGATATAATTACACTCTAAATCCTTTGGGAGTGTACGAAGCAATAAAATACATGTATACCTACTGGCCTGATCCGAATAACGTAACTCATATTCGAGACCAATACATAAATGTAAGTATTAAAAAATCCCCACTATTATGGAAAATTTTCGATAGTTACATTAACAAATTTATTTTTATAATTAAGATGTTGTCAGACTTCCATTACACTGCACCTATGGACAAAATAGCCAAACTTCTGGTTCAAAAAAATATTCCTGTGTATTTATATGTTCTTAATACAACGATAGAGGCATTTGACCTTCCTTTATGGAGAAGAGTTCCTCACGATATCGAACACTTGTTGCTTTCTGGTGCTCCATTTATGGATGTTGGTCAGTTGATTTGACTACATTGTTTTCTTCTCTTTAGTGGTTTGATCAAGTTATAATTATTTTATTTTTTGCAGAATTTTTCCCCGAAAAATTAAAATTAAGAAGAGACATGTGGACCGATAATGATAGAAATATGAGTCATTTCTTTATGAAAGCTTACTCCAATTTCGCAACTTACGGGTAAGTTTTTAGTATTATGATGTTACTAAAAATACCTTGAATTTTTCAACTCATATCGTAAATTTTTTTTAACAGTAATCCAACGCCTGCTCAAATTCTGGGATTACACTTTGATATGGCAAAATTCGGTCATCTGAAATATCTAAACTTGAATACCACATATAATAGTTCTATCCAGTACAACTATCGGCAGACTGAGAGTGCTTTTTGGTCTCAATATTTACCGACTGTCATAGGCCGGTTAGTACCTACGTATCCACCTGTGACGGAGGTAAGTGAAATTAATTTTGAAATTAAACTTTAATCTCTTGATGTTTTAATTTAAAAAATGACTATTCCGTTACAGTTTTGGTGGGAACCGACACAACCTTTGCAGATCGCATTTTGGTCTATGACATCGGCATGTCTCTTATTAATTGTTATGGCAGCGGTTTGTTGTATGCTTTGGCGCAATGCCAAGAGGTAAGCAAAAGGTAAACAGAACCGAATCCGTGTAACGATCACGATTGGTCATTGAGCCAAGAGTATTGGGCGTAGTGCACGTGAATGCTGGTTCTGGTTTCTTTAACAATAATTTACTTACTATCAAATCTGCATTTTTGAATTCTCACAAATGAGTCGCGAGAGAATTCCAAAAACATCGTAGCTTACCTAACAATAATTGTAAATAATATTTAAACGGTCTTTTGCTATCTTTATAGTAAAACGGAGGCTGTAAAAGAAAATTTTGAAGGTAAATTTATGTAAATTGATCAAATATTTGTTGCACGCCATGATGATTGTGAAACACTATTTAAACTTTAAATGATGTTATAATTTTATTTATTTACAATTTGAGGACACTAATGCTTATGTGTAGTTAAAGCACTTTGCCTTTATGAATGTACACTTGATTAATTATTCTTGTAAAATATCACATTATGCAGGGACTATGTTAATGTTGGTTAACATGTGTTGATCTAATTATTTTTTATCAACAGACAGTCCGATCACTACTATAGCGGAGATATCCTGATGGTCAGGGATGACGACGCCTCCGAGGGAATCGACAATTTAAGCCGCGCTTCCAAGGAGAATGTCTACGAGTATCGTGATGCACCTCCATCATTTCGTCGGAATCCTCGTGTTCAAGATATTCGTCTACAGGATCGGCTAGCCCAAAACCGCAAATTTGCTTCTACGCCATCGTTACGTAGCAATTCGAATAATTCGTTAAAAGACGTCAGAGCGGAGGGGTTTGTCACTAGCTCACCCAATGGACAACCCAGAGCAGTTATGAACAGAGCATCCAGTCAAAGTAGTCTACCTAAAAGCAGAAGCAAGACGCATTTGGTCCAAGGTGTTCCTCAGACAGCGGTGTGACCGCGGTGCTTCAGTGCATTTTGAAAATATCCTTCTTTTAGGATTTGTTTGAATTCAAATGAATTTGTTCAAGCCTTAGTGTTGATTGTGGACAATTTTATGGAGTTTTAACTTACGCTCATCTCAAGTGTTTTAATGTACAAAATGGTACTATTCGACTTTACATTATTTCTCAAAAGTGCAAATATTTCAGTTGGTCAACACGTAGATTGCATAGATTAGCGCACAGTAGATTTTCACATTCCAATAAACTTGAATGTAGATTTAAGTACAGAAAATTTTTATAGTGCATAATGCAATGCAATAGATTATCATGATTACCATTTTGTTGGCTGTCAAAGTAGTAGATTTTACACTGGATTAATTATAATATCAATGATAGTTTTTAGGAGCATTTTTTTTTATGACGAAATAATGCACTATCAATCGTTATTACTTTTTTTACAAGCGTGGAGTTGATCTCAGTTTTATAAAAAAATTTACAGTCTTTTTATATAGTTATTTCAACAAATATAATGATGCATGACACTGCCATTGTAATGCTATTTCGCCATCAAAAATTTGTTAAGTCATCCAATTTTTTCATTCCATTAGTTTTTAAGATGAAAAATCGTGTCCGTCCAATGAAACTAGAGAGTTACAGAAAAATAAGTATTTTGATGTAAGTTTAACAATATTATTAAAACTGCAATTGTTTATTGTAAAAATAATAGCAGTCGTCGAGTATTTTATCATGCGTAAGTTTTGTTTGTTAAATGAACTTTATGATTGAAGTAGTAGGCATTTTTGTATATTAATTTTGTACAAAGTTTTACCTGTAATTGCTTTATAAATGTTACTTCAAATTTATTAAGTTACGCTTTAAGATGTTTATAGTATTTGAAATTAGATTTAAGTCAAATAAAAAATTTCGCTGCGATTAAATAGGGAAATTATAAAATAATTTTTGGTCTACAAATAATTGATGAATATATTGAAGTATTATACTCTAAAAATGTGTAAACATGAAAAACATGTTGACTAAGTTTAATCAAAATATTTAAATAAAATTTATTTTAATTTTTACACGTGCATTGCATATTTAATTCAATCATCGTTATTAATTTCATGAGAATGGCCATTACTTTGTAGTTTACTTTTAAATAAACTTGAAAATCAAATTCGTGTACGCAAAAAACGGTCGGAAACTTCATTACGAATTTCTTGATATTACCCCGAAATTTTGAATGTTAATCAAAAATACGTTTCAATAAAATATCAGATTTAGTAAATTCACACTTTTATGTCTAGCAACGTCACGACATACATGCCATATGTACCTACACTTTTGTTGATTTCTCAATTGCGTGATGGTTTCAGTCACAGCGTTCTCAGGCCTAGGCACGTATGGCTAGGTGATAAGAGATCGAAGCCAGGTAGGCAATCGGCACAAAGGCGACGCGGGGTTTTCCAACGAGAATATGAACCGCCGCGGGCGCATAAAAAAGCGACAGCTCTAGGCCTCGCGAATTCAGTTCTAGATCTACCCTCGAGAGGCGAAGCTCTGCCCGGTGCTTCATTTGTGATAAAAAATTAGATAGAGTGTTCGCGAGTGAAATAATAACGAGTCGTAAAAATAGCAAGGGTACGAGTAGTTTAAAGCTTTGCCAACCCTTACCTACCCCTCCGTCACGGGTTTCGTCATACATCAGCCAGAAAGTTGTAATTATAATGATAATCGATTTTCTTTTATTCAATATAAACACTGGGTCTTTTCCTTACTTCTACCACCAAACTCGTGTCATAGTAACATGATTCTTTAATTGCTTTACATTCTAACAAACAAATCAATTTTCAATAAATTCTTCAATTTATGAGTACATAATATTCAATAGAACCATTCAAACTTCGCTCATAAAGTCATTATTCAAGCGACTTGCATATCAAAGGGTACTTATTACCGATCAAACTACTTCTTCATTATATGTCATCGCAAAAGCATTAAATTATTATCTAAAATTAATTATAATAAACATAATCAAAATATGTAGGAAACTAGGTATAAAGTTAAGAATAAATAAGACACAGACAGTGCTATGCAGAGAAGAAGACAGAGACTTACAATACCTATAAATATTACTAACTTGCTTATAAACTAATCACGTCACTGCAAAGTCGTTTTTCGAGAGTCAACTAGATTAACGAGTTAAGGATTAAAAGTTATGAGAGAAAACTTCAATCGTAATTGCGACATATGAAAGAAAACGGGATGCGCCTTCTATTCCTACTACATGTATATCTCGATCGAAGCTGTCAGCCTTTAGAAAATTCGTTAAAAAATTAATTTTTTTTCTTCGCGGTAGGCTGTCAATTTCAATAAATTTCTAGCAGAAATTTGTTTACTTAGTTATATGGTATTTGTAATAATAAATACCATCATTTTTCACTTTACTTTGCGTCTGTAATTTCAGTTTTTCGACGAAGATATTAGATGGGATAATTTAAAGGGCGGTATAAGTGTGTATTACTGCAACAACTTTGTGTTCACGTGTCTGGGTCACGAAAAAAGCGCAGTACAGCTTGGGTGCACTTGTAGACGCAGCTTCAATTATCTTAGTAAAATCGTCTGCACTGCCTGGATGCAGTGCATTTGTCGGTTTTGTTATTTAAATATATGTGATCGAAAATATTTAATCATGGGTGGATCTTAAAGATTCAAACGAGAAATATGGTTCGGTGTAAAGATTATAACTGACGCATTGCAAAAAATGGAGGATTCACAGCGTTCATTTATGTTCAAAATTATATTAGGTACATTTTTGTTTGCTCAGTTATAAATGACAAAGATTTCGTAGCATATCTCGGGCAATTTTTCTGACTGTCCTTTTATATTTTGCAGCTATAGGATTTGGTGTTTTACATCGTTGGCATGTTTCTACTATATTTGAAAATGACAGACATTTCTCTCATTTATCACGATTGGAAAGAGAAATGTCTTTTAGAACCGAAATGGTAAAAAACTTTTCAAATTGTTATTCAAATTTTTGTGATTTTATTTAAAGTAATAATCTATTTTCTAGGGCATGTATTACTCTTATTTTAAGTCAATTGCAGAGTCTGACAATTTTTTTGAAGGCTTGCACAAAGTGCACCATGACAATCTTTCTGAATATCCCAGTGTTATCAATGCTGAGAGTAAATACAATTTAGGTCCAGAGGTACAATTATTTATAACAAATTGGAACTGATTTAAAATTTTAAAATTAAACTAATCATGTAATAATCTTGTAGGTGAATATTGGTGTAATTTATCACTTAATGAAGTATCTGAATTTATTACCAGAGACAGTTTGTTGGCAGGTAACTGATTTCAATTGATCATCAAACTTTTTGGTATTTTATCCTGTTACTAATGAGTGAATTTATTTGAATACTTCTAAAAGGTTGAAAGAGGTGCAGGTTTATCAGTTGTCACAAGTTGCACTGGACTGGGAGAACCAATATATTTCTATTTAGAATTTGTGTGGTTGTTTGCTGCTGTTACCGGAGCGACAATATTTTTGTATGGGGCCCATCTTAGTGGATCGATTGGAGGAGGTTTAATATCAATAGCATCATTTTTCTTTAATCACACAGAATGCACCAGAGTTCAATGGACACCACCATTGCGAGAAAGTTTTGCATATCCTGCACTTCTTTTTCAAATGTATACACTATCAGAAATTCTGAAGAAAAGAAAAAGACCACAAAATATCACCCTTTATGCTGTTTGTATTATATTGTTTTTTATAACATCAGATTGTAGAGGAACTATGAAATCTAAATATTATTTTTTTTTCAGGACCTAGTTATGTTAGTAACGTTTTGCTTGCTCAGTTGGCAATTCTCACAATTTGTGTTTGTTACCCAAACCATAGCAATGCTCATTCTTAAGTGGCTCAGAATTATTGATAAGAAAATGTATTCCTTTTACTGTTCAATGCATTTATTTGCCATTATTTTAGCCATAGTTTTAACTCGAAATTCATTTCTTATCACTTCTGTGCACTTAGCTCTCATAGTAGTCAGTTTTGGTTTGTCTGAAGTAAGCCATTTTTTATCACGCCTGTTTGATCCAAAGACAATAACTCTCTTAGAAATAGCATTTGTTTTAGTATTTTGTAAATTGTGGAAAATGTTTTTTGTTAACAAATCTGATGATGAGCATATTTTCAATTTACTGCGCTCCAAAATTTCTTCTTATAAAGATTTTCATACCATGCTGTACACATGTTCTCCAGAATTCGACTTTTTAAAGTACGAAACGTATGAAGCATTGGTGAAAACTTTCTTGTTGCAAACAAATATTCTTGTTTTTATTTTAGTACTGTACTATTGGTATAGAAATTTAAAAACTCACGGTTTTCCTGGATGCATAGAACCCCATGTAGCTTACAATATATTACAATCAGGGGCCTTTACAATCATGGCAATTTTTGTAATGAGGTTGAAACTATTTATGACCCCGCACTTATGTATTTTGTCTGGATTAGTATGTAGTAAAAGGTATCTGATCAAACTAGGAGTCAAAAGACAAGTAATGGTTGGTGCTTTGATTGCTATTCTTTTGGCAACTATGTCTTACCATGGTTTTCCTCGAGTGAAACAAGAAAGACAATTAATAGGTAAACTGGTTGAGCTTGGTTTGTTTTAAATAGGTTCATTCTGTTTGAATAAAGTTTTAACATTATTAACGTTCATTTTTTAGGAGAATACAGTAACATTGAACAAGAAGAGTTACTAGAATGGATAGATAAGAAAACTCCTTCAAGAGCTGCCTTTGCTGGTAAAATGTCTTTGATGGCTAACATTATGTTATCAACCAGAAGACCAGTAGTGAATAATCCTTACTACGAAAGTAAATCCATGAGGTTGGTTAAATCACGTATCAGAAGAATTGCCGTTTACGAGTCATTAATTTTATCTTGTAAAATTTTTTAGAGACAAGACCTTGAACGTATACGAAATGTATAGTAGAAAAAGTGTGTCCGAAGTTCACGATACATTGAAAAAATTGCAAGTTGACTACCTCATAATAGACGAGACTCAGTGCTACGGGATTGGTTATTGGTGAGTGAATGAGTTAACGAGTAAATAACGAAAATTTTACAATGTAATTTTACAATGAATCTACTGTCTTTGTTACAGGAAGTCGGGATGCAAAATGATTGAACTGTGGGACTTGATGGATCGTGGGGCATCGCGCGGCGCGGGTAAACTTCCCGTTTGTCCGATATTGTATCGCGGCAATGCTCATCCGTTTCGACGAGTTTTTGAAAATCGTAGTTATGTAGTGCTACAGCTCAACTATACCAAATACTTGGAGTACAAGCCAAAGAATGTTTTTGTCGCGTGACCGCAAATTTCGATTGGATAATCGCAGGTTGGAGCGTTGATCTGTTTTTGTGTAAAAGCAAAGCTATGCTTGGTGGATTATACAAGCGAATGTTTAAATTGAGAGAAAAAATGTAATAGTATTGAAGTGGCGTACACGTGTACAAACAAAAATAATGTTATGATAATGATTTATCGCGGCAATTTGAAATTGTCATGATTTTTATTCATTGTTATTGCTAGTTCGACTGTTATTATTAAGAATACTAAGAAAATAAAACGATTTTTATAAGTAATACGTTGTGTTTGTTGGATACTGGCCGGATTTTCACCGAGCTAGATGGAGAAAATCAGTGACGCTTGTTAAGCTGACCAATTAGAACTGAATTTTAGGAAAAAAGCAATCAAAAGCTGCTCTTCTCGGCCAAAGCAAAATAGTCCGAAAAAAGACAAATCGAGCAACAAATCGGAATCGTGTGCAGGTGTAACAGGTTTGACGAGAGCCAGCTCGCGCAGGACTCGCGCGCGTCCGAGGCGAGGATTAGTATGCGGCTCTCGATCATTTAGGCGTCCGCATAGCGCGTCGAGTATTTCGCTCCGCGACGCGAGGAGTAAGTAAGTAGTAGGAAAAGCCGCGCGCGAGGCAGAAAAGAGGGGACTTGGCGCACCTTCGCCCGGCTGACCCACATTAGAGGCCTGTGCGCGCGCGCCTTGTTGTGTGTGCTCTACTGATATATAGCTATATGGGCACGTACAGAGGCAGTGCAAAACGAGAGAGTGGATGTGTGCTATGGCATATCGCGAACGCCGCCGGAGCACTGCTGTAGGTACACTCGATATGGGTGCAGTGCCGATCGCGGAGCTCGGAGTCGGACTCGTTGCTCAGTGCAGTAGCGACTAGTGCCGCGCGCGAATCGCGAATCGCTGCGTAAGCGAGCAGCTGAGAGCACGCAAGCATATACGAGAGACGGATGGCAGCCAGAGGAATTACACATTTTTGAAGGGCTGCCGCGAAAATGATTCCTGGACGTCGTGACAAGACGAGCACGACGACGACGACTTTGATTTACATTTCGAAATTCATTCAAGAATTAACGATCAGCCCAAAGGCCAGTGTAAAAGTGGAAATTCGCCCGGCCAGACGTGCCATCGGCTCGTGATGAAATTTGCCTCTCACGCAGTTGTGCCTTACGAATAATCGGATGAGCCGATGATCGATTCAGCTGGCCTAGATCAAGTTGGTTCAGTTCGATAATATTAAATTGTGATGTTAAAGTGGTGCAGATCGGAGTGCGCGTCGACCAGCTGACTCGATCGGCATCGAGCGATCGACCAGTTTTTATATAATAATAAAAAAAAAGTTACGATCGTGCCACTGTGCGGCGTGTATACAAGAGGATAAAAGTGCGTCTCTGGGGCCATTGAGCCCGTGGCACGCGCGTATACGCATAGATCGGCCGAGCCGCCAAGTGAAGGGAAATCGGCATCGGATCGCGATTCGACGGAGAAAGATCGAAAGCAGCTCGCGCGATCGCGTCGAGTCTCTCTCTTTCTCTCCCTCGCTCAGCTAATAGCACCGATGCAACGGAATCTCGCCGCTAAACAATCTCTTTCCAGTGAGTATCCATCGTACTCAGCGTATATATACGAATAAAGACAGGCGCGCAACGCGAGCAATTCGCACGATCTTGTATTATTATTTACGCGCAGTCGAGGCGTCGCGAGATTCAATCGAAGGAAAGATGCAAGTCGCGTTCGCTATAGCGAATGTGAGAGCTTTACACGCTCGTCTTTGGTCGCATCAATAATTCATAAGGCGCGCAGTGCGTGCGTACCTCTTATGGCGGGCACAATCGACGCGTCGAGAGCAGCGCGGAAAGGAATACGTACAAGTGCGCCAGGCCGCATGTCTATATAGGCATTATACGAAGCGCATACCTGCGTACACGTAAGTGCATATAAAAGAATCGTGCGAACGACGTGCGGAGCGACTAGCTATACTTATAATATTATATTAAGTGTATGCTATATACGGCGTACGGAGGTAGCTAAAGCCCGAGGAGCTCGAGTTCCCGCGCGTCTAGGATAACCGAGGTGCGCGCTTGAGCTTGTATATGGACTCGACTCGCTCGCTCGCACCGCAGCAGCTATTTATTGCCATTATTACGCGCGCACAGCCAGCTTACTCCGCATATAAAAAGAATAATGATAAAGACAAAGCCCTCGTCGGCGCACATATATAGATATTAAGCCTAGCTCCCTACCGTTACGATCACACGATTAAAAAGTCCACCGCCCGCTCGCAATTAAACTTGTATTATTATGGTCGTAAGGTAAGGCCCGTACCGAGTATAACTCGCCTCGAGCAGCAATTCGATATTAAACGTCGCTCGTATAAAGCACCGAATGACACCTTCGCAACTACTGCTATGCCGCTGTGCTTTTATTGCGCGGCTATATTCGCGCTCGGCGATCGTCTTTGATCGGTAGCGGCCCGATTGCCACCCACGCCACTCGCCACATCTGTCTCGCGCGCCCCGTTGCTTGCCCATCGCGACGCTTCTTCTTCTTCTTCTTCTTCGTGATGTCTGTAATAATAAGCCTCATTGTCTGCAAATGATTTCTGGCGCGCTTGTAACGAGCCTTGCGTAATATATCTATATATTACGTTGCGTTATGCAGGCAGAACCATTATACATAGGTTCGGAGGGAAATCGGAGTCGCTCGTTACGTGCACTTGGCTGAGGCGTTGGTCTTATGGCGCGAGCGAGCGAACGACACGCCGCTACGTTACAGTTGCTCTAACGGAGCAGCTGGAAAAATGAGAATTGAATTGAGCCGAGGTAGGTAGCGAGCGATAGGCATCGCAACAACGAGAATCTCCACTGTCTTTCGGTATGCGCGTGTCATTTTTCCTGCCCCGCCACGCTCGACGATAATTCCCAATGATCCAACAGCTTCATTACAATTACATCTTAATTAACTCGAGGCGTGCGCGTGACTTTTGCCTGCTACCCGCGCACACAGTTACTTTTTACAGCTGTAGGTGCGATGCGCGCGTCGCAATCATTTCATGAGTCTTGGTGGCAGCCTGATACTTTGACAATGTAATCGACCATTTGAGCGGATCAACGGAATTAATTCTTCAGATGTGTCTTGACTTTACGTAAATAAAACAAGAATTAAACAAAACTGAACTGTTTCAAGTCTACATTTTTGACAGACGAATAGTTTTTATTTATAAGCGTGTTTTTTTAATACCCACTCACCCAGTGAACCAGCGAGGGATATAAGTGACTCCGCATTCTATCCTCGCGAATTCAATCCGAAGTTGGTAAAAAATCGTACAGAAATTACAACGAATTTCATGTATACAAATGTTATTAGAATATTTAACATAGGATCTGGGATGCCAATACCCTTATGTGCGGATCATTTTTGTAGTCAAACAAGAAATTCAAAAATGGACTTTTAGTTTATAAACTACCGAGTAATTTTAAATGTGATAAAACATAAAGCTTTTAATTCTTGTATCGCGGTGGAATTATCGAATTATAGTTGTTCTATCCTTTCTCATGGTCAATATAGTTCATCAAGTATTGTATTGGCGAAAAACGACATTTTATCGCGATATTATTACGATGCCTAGCAGTGTCTCTTTTGCGAAATCATTACCTCGAAACACTTGTGACGTCGACAAAGAAAAGTTTTTGCCCTTTTTCTAAGCGCGAGTTTGCTCGCGTTTAAAAGGATGGGACACGTAAGGTCAAGCCCTCCTATTCATCATCGTGTCGTACGATGTACACGCTCGCTAATCGAGGCAGAAGTGCAGTCGCGAGACTCGGCAAATACCGTTAGACTATACGGGCGCGCGACTACTTTTTGTCCAAAGTCCTGTAGGCCGCGAGGTCCTCGCGGTCATTTCATTCAGTAATTATTTCCAAGAGGCTGCGAATAAAATAGCTTACAAGGATCACCCGAGTAGCATCGCGATAATTGCCACGCCAAACGAAAAGCGAATTCGCTGCAGTTTTACTCGTGCATAGGATTCTCGGGCTGGAGCTCGTGCACAATATATAGCTACACACACACACATATAAAGCTGTAAAAATGCTGCACCGAGTCTGCTTTTACGATCGTTGCGTACGATAGGCGCGTGTGCGTCTACCGATTGAGCTGCAAATGCCTGGCCACATACGAGGCGTGAAGAGCGCACCGAACAATTTCACTTCTCGTTCCCATGTGTGCGCGAGCTGTCTATCGTCGTTTGCCATGTATACGTAGGTATATGCTGCAGCAGCTCCTATAATATACTCACGCACTCGCACACGCGCGCACACTTTTGTTCTACTTTGGTCGCTGCACCGAGTCGAGCTTTGCATCGAGCTCGCGTGAGAAACCCTATGAAGCAGCAGATATATATAAAATGCATGCACACTGCAGTCATGTTTACTGGAGTATAAAAAAACTATATAGAAGCAAACTTTCTTCGGCGCGCGCGAAAACTTAGATACGCGCAGCTACGTACGCCTATATGTATATATACCTGTACTTTGTGTTATACGTATACCCGCATGTATGATAGATCCTCGGAGTGTACCTAGGCTACGTTTATGTGCGTTGAGTGCCGATCCCGAGCCACAGCCTATTTTGCTGCTTTCCCATTCGTATTTTGCTTGCCGTATTTTCTCTCGCCAAGTCTTTTTTCTTCTTAGATCGGTCCTCGACGAGTATCGCTGCGTGATTGGTCAACACCCTGAAACGATGAATCAGTTATCTCAGAGGTGCGACGACGTTCATTCGCTCAATCAACCGTACCATATGATTATGTTTCTGTACTATATATTGGTCGGTTTAATACGAGCTCGTATAATGTATAGCGCTTATAATCGGCCCTCGCGCGATCGATCGGGCCTCGATAGAGAAAAAAAGAAGAGAGAGAGAGACGAGAATGACGAGACGCGAGAAAAGGAGAACGCGTGTGTGCGTCGAATGTAGGTAAACGTGTCGCGGTGCATTGGCGCATCGAAGTCGCGCTGCGCTGCACACACCGCACCCGATCGGGATTCGCCGCAGCCGCACTCGCACCGATCGGAAAATCCAATCGAGCATCGACGCGATCGCGACCGAGAAGATGGCCCGACGCAATGGCTTTGCTGCTAGCTCTTTCTTTACGGCGTGCGCGGGGGAGCTCGCGGGACGACTTTCGATCGTATCGCGGCTTCGTTTCCACCGCAATTCGCCTGTAAATACATGCGCGTCGCGCCACGACCTTATCCGCCTGCATATCGTATGCAAACTTGGAATTCGTGCGGCTCCATGTTGTCCTAGATGCGTTGGGAGCGCTTCTCGCTCTGGGAACGAGCGTGAAATCGATTTAGCCGCGACTACTCTCGGCGTGGCACGTAGGCAGACGCGCATCCTTCTCGCTACTCTCTTTCCCTCTGTGTCTCGATTCAGCCGCGAGGAAAGTCAGCCTCGCGCCGAACAAAAGGCTCTCGCCGAGCCGAACGCGACTTTTACAAATGCCGACGATTCGAGCGCGCCGCGCAGACGTAGATAAGGCCAATTACCCGCGATCGGCCTGCTGTATGTACTCGTTTGTCTTGTAAGTCGAGCGCGGCGTTGGGCGCAGCTGTGGTATGCGCGATTGAGTCATTCCAAGCGTATACCGATATATACCGACTCGTATATTTATATGCTATATACGTAATACGCGTATTATAACCGACCGCACGGCTAGCCAATGCGACTCTCGCGTACGAGACAAGGTGAACAAAAAAAGCACAACCGCACACACGCATTGTTATACATTGAATATCCTATTCTGTTGTTTATAAATGCGCCGCGTAACCATAATGCTTATGGCTTTTGTATACGGAATTGCGACGCACGCATTGGCTAACGCATTGGCCAACTCGGGACTCGCGCTTGCTCTCGCCTATTCGTCGTGAGAAATGTCTCCCGATTGAGATACAGCGACGTCAATGCCATCGCGACGCGGCTGATATTTCAAAATGCACCGACGCTGCGTATCGCCGAGACAATTTATGTCTCACTTTAGACAGGTCGATCAAAGATTTCTCGACCGATCGTGAGTTTTGCATGTCGATCTGCGCAAAAATCGATTCCGGGCTCTTTCTATTTTTTTTCTCAAAAAGTACGAGCTCTATAGTGGCGAGAAGTGGAGTCTTTTGGTCACTTTGCCGAGTCGTCTTGCGTGCGCGCGCCTTAATTGCACTTGTTCTGTGGCAATTCTCGCACATTATCGCGAAATGACAGCATACACACACACACACACGCATCTATTATCGTGATTTCACCCGTCAGCTTTTCGGTTTTTAGTCGCTCGGCTCTATTCGACTTGTCTTTTCTCTTTTTTTTCATCAAGCGTTCGCCTTATCTGACTGTATTTCGGATATGAATGGTGCTTTTTGAAGGTCAGCACTCGAATGAAGTCAATACTTTTTGGCAAAAAGAAAAACAGGAAGCAAAGAATGAAAAAAGTTGGTATATATGTATAGCAAAGTATAGTCGGTAATTTTGCGTGTTCCAGCGGGCGAACAATGAGGCGAGAGGTAGGCGAGTGGCTGGCGACGTGCGTCGGCTCGCCGATCTGCATCCTGCTGCTCTGCTGGTGCCTGCTGATCTACCAAAACCAGCCGGCCGCGACGAAGCGCCGGGTCGACGTTCTGGCCGTTGCCCTCCTGTCGCAGAGCCTCGCCCATCATCTCGGCCTCGTGCTCTTCGCCATCCTCGCCCTCATACATCCCAAGCAGCACTTCGAAGGTGCGTACCGATTGCAATTGTGATTTGCATATAGGACGACTCGTCCGAGCCGCGAGTCAATTGTCTCGGTCGATTAATTTTCAGTTCAAGTACGCGGACGGCTCGTGACTTAATTATGTATGTGTGTAAATAATACACTCTTGGCTTGGCTAAACGTCTTTAATAATGTAATACGTGCTGCGAGCGCGTGCACGTATACGTACCGTTGCAGAAATTCTTCGGAGCACGCTCGGTGCGCGAGAATCGATGTACGTGGCCGCAGCTTAGCACCGATCATCGCCGCGCATCCGACTCGGCGTGGATTTTTTCCCCGTCTTTTTTTTTCGCTCACCTCGGAAAAGTGTGTCGCGCTTAGAGGCAGCGGAAAGTACAACTATGCACGTTTATCTGCGCACAGAATTCTGCTCGAGTCTGGTCTGGCTGCTGAACTCGTCGAGCATCCTGCAGGAGCTGAGCCTGGCGTCGATCGCCGTGTTCGCGGCGCTGACGGTGCGTGACGACGAGGGCGCCGGGCCCAGCATCAAGAAGCACCACCTCAAGTACCACCTGGCCAGTCTGACCCTCACGGCGGCCTGCATCGGCGTCACCGGCGTGCTCAATTACGAGCCCAAGAGCTGCGTCTTTTTGCCCCAGGACATATCGGCCAAGTACGGTCTCTTCTTCAACGGGCTTCGAATCCTTCTGGCTCTCGCAGCTTTGGCCAGGTATAGACCGACACCTTCTAGTCTTGAAAAAGCGCCAAAAATTGGAAAAGATAACGAATCCAATAAACTTTACAGTCTGGTTACGGCTCTGATGCGACACTTGTGTCGACCGTTACCTCGGGCCGAATTACTCAAGAGCGTCTCGGACTTGTCGGAAGCCAGCTCGAAAAATTCCGTCTCGGGCACGTACGAGTGTCTTCATCATCATCCATTGCAGCAGCAGCAGCAACCACAGCAATTGCAGCAACAGCAGCAGCAGCAGCAGCCACAGCAGCCGCAGAATCAACTGCAACAGAACTGGGACGGTCAGACGGCGACCGGTTCGTACAGCAGCACCGGCTCGACCAACAGCAGGGCATGTCTCAAGCGACGCGACTCTACCAACGAGGTCGTCGTCGTCGACGAGGCCAGCGGTCGGCCAATCGTCTACGTCTTGCTGACCGTCTGCTACGTTTTCCATCACATACCCATGCTGGTAAGTTTGACTCCCGAGTAAATAAATTGGTATATCCAATCGGCAAGTTGCAGAATCAATATAATTAGCTGGCTCGATCGGGCGCGAATTCGTTACGGTTAAAAGTCAAAGTTCGGAGATTCAAAGTTTGGGATCGTGAATTAAGCGGAAGCGCAAATAGACGCTCGTGCCAGGCTTTGAATGGGTTACACGGCGCACAGACTGTATATATAGACGTTGTTTGCGGAAGTTGGAGCTAGCGTGCGAGGATGTGCGCGATCGCTTTGGTCGTCGCGTTGTTGGGACGTGCTCTCGGTTAACGGGACGCCGTGAGCTGTCATAGCGCTCGCGGACGCTTTTGTGAAAGTGCAACGTGTAACGAGGCTCTCTGTACAATGTGTATATGAATACAAGCTCGCTAGTGGCCGCGATATCGCTTCGAACGAGTGTTATATTGCCCCCGTCCGCAGCAGCAGCTGCTGCAACGCGCCGTAATATTCGCGTATTACGCGAATATTTACATCATAGATCGCGTCCGAGCTATGTATACTTGGCGCACACGTAACGCGTACGGAGCTAGATTTTCTTATTATTGTACGCGGCTGCAACTGTGTCTATACGATTTGTTTCGCTGCGATCGCGCCAACACGACGATGTTCGCTCGAAACTTATAATACATCGCGCTGTAAGAATTAGAGAGTGGCACTCCCACTTTTGACCGACGCAGCGAGTCGCGCGCGCCCATCGATGCATATGTACGCGCTATACGTACGAGCATATTGCATTGTGTGTATTTGCTTATACACACACGCGTTATGTGCAGGTACGCGACAAATATGAAAAAAGGCGCGTCCTCCGACACTTTCGACGCTGAGTTTTGCACTGCAGCGAGCCGCGATCCGGGATGCTCCTACATTCGAGCTGTAAACGCGTACACTCGATGCCTTTTCTCGAGTCGCTGCCGAATCGTTCGTCCATACAAAATACCTCGATTGTTGCTGTGTATACACGCAGATATAGATAGACGAAGGCGGCGAACCGCAGCAGCTGTCTATATACACATCGTCGAGTTACGCACATCTTATTGCAAGCATATGTATATATGAGATCGCATCAGCCGATACATAGTTTAGAAAGTTCAGCGCTGCGTGTCTGCATATGTGCACCCCGCACGTATCAGCGCAGTACACTTATAAACATATATAATTATAATGCAATATGTATAGCAATACGTGTACGTGTGCGTGTCGGTAGAGCCGCGATAAATTTTACTGGATTACACTCGTGGTATATCGGTGGATGTTGCGCGTTCGCGACTCGTTTCGGCCATGCACATGGAAAAGCCGATCGACGATCGTTAATTAAGATCGATTTCTTTCTCTTATTTCTGCCTCGCTCGTGTCACTGTCTTATACATACTTGTAACGAGCAATGCGTTGGCTCGATTTCGTGTCTCGTGCGTATCAATAGAGCCTCGTACGCGACCGAGACTGAAAAAGTTGGTGTACATTTTATTTCTTGTCGAGCGCCTAATCGACGAGCGATCGACCCGTTGTGTACGAATCGACGTTTGCGACTCCGAATGCAAAACGAGCGCAACAAACGCGGCCCTCGTGTTCGAGAGAGAGAGAGAGAGGAATACTCGAGTAGCGTGAAAAATGAACAGTTACAAAAGCAGTCGGCAGCAATGTACTAGCTATATAGTCACTCAACGCCTCGTATATTATATATGTATAGGTATCTACAATATACATTTGCAACAATTTGCAACAGCTACTCACGCTATGCTGCATAGGTCGTTGTTGCGGGCTTGGAAAAAGCGTGAAAGTACAGCATATGCGTATATCGCACGCGTCCTGCTCTCGGGCTCGTTCGGGATCTTTCCCATGATGTATATAGGATCGATTGAAATTACGACTAGATCGCAGTCGGCACATCGTGCTTTCCGAAAATTTCAATTGTTGCTCGGATGGACTTTGAGGCAAAGCAATGCAATCCCATCGCCGATCGTCGTTATTTCATAAATAGCGCTCGTGTTGCAACGAAAACGCGAGGACTTATATAGCTTGATATTTTTGGACGCCACCCGATTCATCTGCGCTATTCTATCGACTCTCGAGATCGAACGGGCGAATATTTGAAAGAGCCATCCGAGTTGCGGCATGGAGCTGCTCCAGGCACTTGGCTATTTACCTATGCTAGCAGTGGCGGTAGCAACGGCAAAACAATACCAAAACAATAATACGAGGCGCGCGAGCCGTTATGAGTGGAAATATCGTAATTATACACGTGCGCGCGGGCTACAGCACGAGCTCGAGTCGTTTGGAAAGTACATATACATTCGTGTATATAATACGCACCGTAGCGGCTCTGCAATAAAAAGTATATAATAATATCGCGTAGAGCATATTATACGCGTAAGCGAGCTGCTGCGCAACGGCTCGAGTCGAGCTCGTGCTTTCTCTCCGCGCGCAGCGTTTATATGGCTGCAGCTGCGTGTCTTTCCATCCTACACAACTCTCTGCACGCGCTATCTGTCGATCTGCGAATTTTCCCAAATGCTACCGATATCGCACAGGCTGCGTGGTGCCTCTTGCGAAATCGATGCAACCAAAACAACTCGTAAAAGCGCCACACGATACTTTATGCGGCGATGACGTTAATTTTTTCTTTTCGTGGACAGATCGTTTCGATTCGGCCGGATGTACTGAGGAATCTGTGCAGCCCGCAGAATCTAGCGAGCTGGTTGCCACTTGTCAAGGACACGCTGCTGCCCATTTCGCTGGCCACCTTCGACAAGACGTTCTGCCGATACGTGGCCAGGCTCTACACGAAGCAGGAACGATCGACCCAAAGTACCCATGGTACGTACCGATTTCTGGCATCGCATACCGATTTACATTCGACGTAATTATTAACTTCGACGAGTTTTTAATTACAGCTGGCGGGGTGGACGGCAAATTTCGACACTTTGAGCAAGACGGCGAGTACAAATTGCAGCTGAATCTTAATCATGGACTGAAATTTTCCATGGCACAAGACTCGGCTAGACCGAGCCCAGGCGCCAATCTCTATGGAATTCTGCACAATCATCAAACTCGAGGTTGTTCAAATATCCTTTTTGTCCATTCCCATTTTCAATCATTATGAAGAATAGCTTTACAAATTTATAACTCCAAATGTCAGTTCGAGCTAAGCAGCAGGCCATGCAGCAGCAGCAGCAGCAGCAGCAACATCAAAGTCCAATTGCGCTTTGCGGACGAAATAACGGGAATCTGTCGAGCGGCGACTACGCGTCCATGGGCCCCGCGTCCTCGACCTGCACCAGCTGCTCCAATCTGGATCTGCGCCAGTCGCAGCAGCAGCTCATTCCCAGCAGCCACGGCCGCAGTCGTCAGCATCATCAAGTGCAACAGAGCAAGCCGAGTCGAATGGTGAGCCGCGCCAACAGCTTCGCCAGTCCTGCCACTTGCGAGCCCGATCAGTTTTTGCTTCGACATCATCATCAGCAGCAGCAACAGCTCAGTAGACGCAAATTCGAGTCCAGCTGCAACCCCAAGCACCTCGAGAGCCTCGTTTGTCTGCAATTCGACGACGAGCAGTCCTATCCGGCGGTAAGTACTCCAACATGTCTCCTGAAAAAAAGTTGAAAGAACGGATGACTCAATTGGATATGTGCGCGGTGTTTTACAGGAATTGGCGGCCCGTCGACTCAAGAACTTCGCCAAAAGCCTCGACGAGATTCGCGAGGAAAACCAACAGCCGCGCTCCGGACAGCCACTTTATCACTACCAGTATCAGCAGCAGCAGCAGCAGCAGCAGCAGCAGCAACGCCAACTAGAGCAAACCAGACGGGCAGTGCGACGCAACCAGAGCTTCGACCTGCACGCGGTGCAGCTCCGAGCTTGCCCGAGGATCGAACTGCCCCTCGTCCAGACTCGCACTTACCAGGCGACCAAGACACGAGCGCAGCCCCAGCTGCCCGTTCAGCAGCACTCGAGGGTCCAACGAGTCCTGGCGGCTGCCTACCGACAGAGCGACGATCGCCGAGCGGCCGACTTCGAGACGTCGTCCGACGACGAGAGCTGCGAGGGCAGCCAGCGGGACTTTGACACGCTCAGCTCGTGCAGAAGTAGGCCGCGCAGCCGCTGCTCCGTCACGACTGTCGCCAATGACGACTTTGAATTCTTTCAACGCAACGGTACGACGGTAAGTGTCGCGCGATCGTATTGTTTGCCACTACTTATTTCGATTCGAAATGACGTCGCTTTCTTTGACGCGTAATAGGAGCCGATTCGAGCGAATCAATCGCCAACTCAGCAAAATCAACAGACAAACCTTTCGGACTCGGGCAAGGGCAACATGCGCAGCTTCACGCCGCGCGTCATCGAAGCCACGGCGGCCAACTCGATCTCGCCCCAGCTGGACAAGCCCGTCGTGCAGTCGTACAAGCTCAAGACCAGCAAAATAAGCCAAGGCCATTCGCTCAACGACCTCGATCGCTTTCAGGGTGCTCGCGCGGCGCCGGTGGCCGTCGCCAAGCAGCCGACCCTCTCGATCGAGAGCCTCAAGAGCATACTCGCCTCGACTCACGTGAGCTATCTCGACAACGGTCAACTCTGCAGGCATAACGTCGGCGATCTTGGAGGCTCGGCTCCTGATTTCAAAAAGATTTTCGTCACCGACTTCATTTGAACTTTCGACGCGATCGGCTCACATCGCTACCTGGACAATGTACATAATATTTTCTCATCTCACTTGTTCTCTCATCGTGACTATTTCGTCCACGTGTGTATATAGAAATGTAAAAACTAAAAGTAGTCCAATACTGTCTAATTGCTAGTACTTTGAAATTAAAAAAATTTACGGGCGCTATTGCGAGCGCCGATCATTTAAATACCTAACTTTAAGTCTCTATCAACAAGAATTATTGTAAATATTATCTTATATTTTGTAAATTTGTATTTATTGATTGATCATTTCATGAAATGTAACACGAATATTATAAACATGAATATAATTTTTGAATATTTTTTCAAAAATCATCTCTATTGTATAATTACTTGGTTTAGTCATTAAACTAAAATGATATTTCTAATGAGCTCACGATTGTTCAAAAAAGTTGGATTATAATTTCCCGTATCTGAACTCTGAAGAGATGATTTCATTACACATCAAGACATATTTATTTTTAATACTTTTATAATTCAAAATATAGGAACCTTTCATTTTTTTTCTTTTTAATAAAATACGATGACCAAAGTATAATTTAATCAAACATTTGTAAAAAAAAAAAAAACAAAATGCCTATTTGATTCCCAAAATGTTATTTTTGTATTTATGATTTATTTTAGTCGTTTAATATGATATTATCCGAAAAATATCATGAATAATCTTACACAATCTTACAAAAAAAACACGCAATAAAATCGTTTTCTGAAAAGTGTTGTTTATTTTACATATTAAAAAAATAGTATTCACACAAACATTCACATTTACAAACTTTGTCAATTCTAGTTAAGTATATGCGGTTTTCACAATGATAAAAACTTACATCTTTCATGCCCACTTTCACTAAATTACAAATTTTGGAAAATTTTTTGTTTTGATGATATTTACAATAATGACGATTAAGTTCAAGAAACTTAAAGAACTTTGTAGCGTCCTCTAGAACCTGTGTGAGTTCCAGAGGCCTGAAGTTTAATGAGTTCTTCTTTGATTAGTCTGGATACTTCAGCTTTAGCTTTACTAACTGCTAGTTCATTGGTACTTTCAATAGCAAGATAAAGTTTGCGTTCGCCTTCGGGAGGTGATTTTCCTGTCGGTATATAAGTGCCTCGGACGGTTAAACCTGCTTCAGAATACTCTGAAATTTGAGCCAAGGCTTCTTTGCTCGTTACTCTCCAACGAGCCTGTTGAGGGAAATCATTTATTTCTAGTTCCTCTTCGTATTTGCGGAACACTTGTTCTCCTGATTCTGCGTCACCGTCTAATATGTCATCTTCACGGGGTTGGTAGTTGAGCTTGGTATTTAATTTAGCTGCAAGCTGCTCTGCCACTGTCTTTGCCTACAAAAAGAAAATTGAAAAATTTATAGCCGATGTTAAATAATTTTGGGAAACAAAAAGCAATAATATTTCAAGTACTTACGGTAATCAAATTTGTGGGTCCAGCACCTTTAAGGATAGCTTCGGTAACTTGTTGAGTTGTTCCTTTGGCTTCAATACCTAAATTTTTAACTGTGTTTATTCTAGAGGCCAATTTTCTAGCAAGCTCAAGTTTTTCTGTTGCACTTGATCCACCTTGACCGCCAGAATTAGCCGTTGCATTTGCATTAGCGACAGCAGCCTTTGGCATTTCATGCACAATTTTTTTGGCTTGAAGCATTGTTTCGATTTGTTGATCAATATCGTTTTCTATATCTTCATCATCAGAATCTTGAAGTCCAAGAGCTGCCTTCTGGAACTTCTTTTTTTCATTTGCTAAAGCAGCTTCAGACTCGTCAAATTTATAGCCTTTACCACTGAAGCCACCACCTGTATGCACTTTTTTACCATCAGCTTCTTGCTTATTTTTATACTCGTCCCACAGTTGTCGAAGAGGATCAGGTACAGGTACTCCAGCCAACTCATGTGCTCGCAGAATGTCTCCAGAGTACCGTGCTTGTTCAGGAGTTATAAAAGTATATGCATAGCTGAAAGAAAAATAATTTCAAGTCAATTAATACCAAGTTCTTTGAATTAAAACATGATTGAGAGAAACTAAATTGTAAGAAAATAAAACATACCCTTTATTACCAGCGCGACCTGTGCGTCCACAGCGATGAACATAATCCTCATAATGGTTCGGGCAATCATAATTGACCACTAAAACAAGACTTTTGACATCTAAACCTCTAGCTGCCACAGAAGTAGCCACTAAAATTTTTACTTTGCCAGATTTGAAACTTACTATAGTTGAATCGCGATCGCATTGATCGATACCACCATGCAGCGACATACACATGTATGAGGATTTCATGAGGTCTTTAAGCAGCGTATCAGCATTTTCTTGCTTATCTACAAAAATAATAGCTGAACCTTTATCTTGATAGTGACCAAGAATTTCTAGAAGTTTAAAGAATTTTTGCTCATCCTCCAATATGACAACGTGCTGCTCAACTTCTTTACAAACTACTGATCGACCGCCTACTTGGACTTCTACTGGCTTCGTTAATATACGACGAGCTAATGCCTCCATTTGACGTGGAAAAGTTGCACTAAATAGTACAGTTTGTCGATCTGGTCTCACATTTTCCATAATACGCATAACTTGTGGCTCAAAACCCATGTCGAACATTCTGTCTGCTTCATCCAATACCACATATGTGACTCTCTTCAAATTTGTGACTCTGCCATTATTTGCAGCTAACATGTCAATCATTCTTCCAGGTGTACAAACAATAATTTCTGCTCCTCTTTTGAGTTCAGCTATTTGTTCCGAAATACCAGTGCCACCATAAACACAAACATGTGACAGGCCAAGACTTTTAGTGAATCGTTTCGAGTCTTTTCCAATTTGCATGCATAATTCTCGTGTTGGTGTCAAGATAAGAGCAATTGGGCCATCTCCATCTTCTAACCGAGGTTGATCGAGAATATGCCTAAACATAGGTAGCAGGAATGCTAATGTTTTGCCACTGCCAGTTTTAGCAATACCAATAAGATCTCGACCAGACATGATTGCTGGAATGGCTTGACATTGTATAGGTGTGGGTTTTTCATATCCTAATTTACGAAGTACATCAAGCTCTTTTTTGGAAACTCCACATTGAGCCCAAGATTTTATAGGTTTTGGACAATTTTTGCCTTTAACTCTGATACCTTCGAGTTCTTCTTTGTATTCTTCGACTTCCTCAGGGGTCATGCGAGCTGAAAAAAATGAAATAATGCAATTTAAGTAAATTGTGTTAATTTAGAATTTTTGATAAATAAAATAAAAAAATACCAATTTCTGGGACTTCACGATAAAATGCTTTTTTAAAAGGTATATATTCTGTTGTAGCATGATCCACTTTGGCTAGCTCGCGTTTCTGTTTATTTGCAATTCCAGCAGCTGTTTCATGAAGATTTTCACCTTCTTCTTCACTTGAATATTCAAGACCGTCCTGATTTTGTTCAATTAATTCTCCTTTTTGTTTTTGAGTTTTTTTCTTTGCTACTCCAGTAACAATTACAACACTGCCACTTGCTGTGCTACTATTATTGGCTACTAAAATAAAGCAAAATATTAATTTTAATTCTTGGATTTATCAAATTGTTGAGTTAATTAAATTCTTTCTACGTACCTGGCTTTTTTTCAAATTTATTGACTTTTTTTACTTCCTCTTGAACACCTGCCATGTACGCATCAAGGGGATCAATTTCATCTTCTTCAACTTCCATTGTATTTTTTACTTCAGGTACACATACTTCATTTTCTTCTCTTAATTCATTTTCTCTACAAAACTCTCTACTGCATGGATTTATTGTAATCTCTTCATCAACATCATCATCATCTTCTAGAGACCATTTTTTTGCAGAAGGTAATTGTAAATTACATAAGATGGAAGTTTTGCCCTCATCCTTTTTAGCGTCAAGCTCTTTCTTTTTCCTCTCAGCTCTCCATCTTTCAATTCTTTCTCTTCTCTTTTGCATTTCTAGTTCCAATCTTTTCTGTTCTTCATCCTGCTCAAACATAAAAATATTTAAAAATTTGTTTGAAAAAAAAATAAAAATGTCATACAAATGCTTACTTTATCAAGTTTGGTATGGTCGAAGGGCAAATCATCATTTTCTGTTTTATCTTTTTCTTTGCGGTCTCTAGACTTTGACCTATTGGAACGATCTTTTCCAGATCTAGACGACTTTGACGTAACCAGACGCTTCTCACCATTGTCCGCACTGATTGCGAGATAACAAAAAAACCATTAAAAAATGAGTATAGTGAATAAAGTTTAGTGACAAATAAATGAAAGTTCAACTCACTGTTTTCGTTCTTTATCTCTTTCACGATCTCTGTCCCTATCAGATCGGTCTTTTCGTTCCCTATCCTTGTCTCGGGAACGGCTGCGTCGATCACGTTCGCGGTCGCGGTCTCGGTCTCGTTCGCGCTCACGATCCCGATCACGATGTCTTTTCTCGCGATCACGTTCTCGGCTTCTCGAACGTCTCCTCTTTTTTTCTGGAGTTGCACTTCTGGAACGGGACCACGATTTCGAGCGTGATCTTCTTCTGCTATGATATCGATCGACTCTGAAAATCAAAACCATAATATTAGCTTCAACAATATATTTAAAAAATACTAAGCAAGTAAAGGGTAAGTTGTACAGTTGTTAAGTGAGACAAAGTTGTAAAGTGGCCGTAATCAAAGAAATATTCATAAGCACTAGCAGAACATAACCTATGTTATGGTAAAGTTTCGAAATTGTACTTACTTGTCTCGAGCCATGGCTAATGTTTAGAAAATGGTCACATAAAAAATAGTCAATTGAAAAAAAAGTTTCTAGAGTGAGAATTAAAAAGAAGTGTCAGAACTCAATACAATATCAATAAACACCACCACAACATGAGACTACAGTACACTGTTCTATCGTGACCTAAGCGGTAGTCTGCCCCCACTCGTGGGGTACCGGCTAAGTATACAAGACGTACGTGTATGTTAAAAAAACCATTGTAATCGAACCTTAAATCCAAATTGAAAATTCGGAGTCACAACGAAATATTTTTTTTAATCTATTCGTACATGTTTTAAAGAGCTCCCTTCCGCTCCAAATTATTTTGTCGGATTTCCATTTATATTAATGAATAATTACAGTTCAAACTTTCTCTATATCACTATATTGTAGCATAAGCACCTCAAAAATAAAAATGTCTTCAGAAATGTCTTTAGAATTGTGTATCTATTTTTTTGGTGCTCTAGATTGAGCTAGGGGCTTGATTGAAACAATGGAAAAAACAAATTTTTTAAAAATTTGACAAGGATTTCAAGAAAAGTATTTTAAAATATTTTTAACCGGAAGCTCCAGCTGTGATATCGTCATAAATAAGCCGATATTTTATGTTATTATTAATACTATAAAGTAATATATTTATAGTAAAATGGAAGACAACAGTAATTATTACTATAATAATTTGATATAATTAATAAATAATAATTGAAGCTAAGAAACGAAAGAGTAGAATGCTGGTTGGAAGTGAATGATTAATCGCACATACGCGTTCGAATCGGATCATACCACCGGTAGCTTCCACCACCAACATAAAGCCTTTGTTAAAAACGTTATTAATAATGTACATGTACAATTAGCTCAGTCTCATTACAACTTGCTACCGATCGACAAGTGCGTGATGGCCCATCCACGCTCTACCTTTCAAATATCTGTATAGAATATTATTATTTATTAGTATGTAATTTCTATTTCTTCTTTCCAAAATGATTTCTATTTCTCTAAATCAAATATATACTTATTTATAAAAATATATAACAGATAAAATCATTAAGTCACTGCCACCACGCAATGAACAGTATTCTGTTTTGCATGTGTTAAAGATGATAATCAAAAACATACATAAGAGATAAATAAAGTAAATAAATATATGATTAACACAAATTCAACGATTGCCAGTGCTATAGGCTACTTGGGCTCGGCACAGAATCATGCAAGGCCAGTGCAATTACTCCCATTGCATAATAACTATTCCTAATATTATTTCAAACTTTTATTATATTTACACTTAAAATGCTCATGTTGCCCCCGCGACGTGACACAGATTCTAGGACCTATTTATGTTAAAAACAGCGTTTTTCGGCTCTAGACGCTATCGCCTTCTATTAGAAAATCTGAAAAAATTAAAGGCTATGTGTTTTGATGAAAGAAAGGAGAAAAAATTTTCAAGATTTTTTAAAGCCTCGTATCGCCCTAAAAAAATTATTTTCGTCAAAAAAAGGAGTTTTTGGCTTCTAAAGGTGCGTTACTAAAGCCGAAAAAATCTGAAAAAATTCAAGCTTGTTCCGATTTTGCAGCTAAGAATGATTCTTGTGGTTTCTGTTTCATCATGTCATTGAATCATTTAGACTTTGAGCAACAACCAGATGAAAACAAGGACTTTCAACGATGGCTGTAAAATGAAAATTTTACCAATTGAATGATTCAATGGCACCACGTAACGAAAGAAATTAATTTAACAATACAAAATAGTTTCATGAGAGCTCAAAATCAGTGGGATATTGGTCGATCCCACTTGTTGATTCAATTCACTCAAGAGTTAATGAGCATAACAAATATAAAGAATAAATCGTACATTTTTTTTAGTCTCAAAACTAATTTTTAACTAATAAATTTAGGTAGTGCACCAAAAGAAATTGATGAATATATCTTAAAATTTTATTTTGGATTCAATAATGTCAAGTTATTACTGAGAGTACCCCATTTGAAGAATGCTTTATTTCAATTGCTAAAATTGAATATATGTGAAGCATTCAGGGAATAGGAATGAACAATTTACCGCCAGTTAATTTTTGTAAAAATATTAAATATTTTTTCTTATGTAATTTAATTACTTCTATATTTGTATTTACATATTGTACATTCAAGAGTACATGATTATTCATACTTTTGTCTCTTCATGATTTCAGGTTTAAAGTCAATTGGATGATTCGGTTCTGATGTTGTATCAACTTCTTCATAAATTTTAATAGTTTTGTCTGCCTGTGTCGTTATCAATTTTGATCTAGAATGATCAAACGTAACGCTGTATATAGCAGCTTCGGAGCTCATTGAGCCAGGATGGGCTGGAACCTGCAATCGCTGGAAATTATACCCTGTTCTCCAATCCCATAAATGCATACTTCCATTATCTGCTCCAGAGACCAAAACACCATCTTCATTGGTTCCAATTGCTTTGTGCCCAAATAAATTCTGAATAAACTGTCCATTGACACTTTTCCACTGTTTAATAGTGTCTGAAGATCCAGAAACAAATGTGTTTAAAGCTGGATGGGATGTCAAAGCTCTGACGCCCTTTTTATGATTTTTAAGAGTGGCTGTTGATCTTCCAGCCGTTAAATCATAAAGCCTGATTGTACTATCATGACTGCCAGTAATAATTTGTGGATCAGTGGCTTGACATAGAACACTGGCAATTGCTTTGGTGTGTCCTGTGATAATATGAGTATTTACGTTGGTTCTCATATCCCATACTCTTGCCGTACAATCTCTACCAGCTGTTACCATGAGGTCTATGGTAGGATGTAGCGCCAGAGAATACACCGCAGACAAGTGTCCGTGATAATGTCTGATAATTTTATTGTACTCTAAATCCCAGCACTTGACTTCGTTGTCGTTGGAACACGAAAATAAGTATGTCTGAGGAGGCTGATAAACTCAGCGAAACGTTAGCGACAATTTTTAATAAACTTTTACGTTTTTTGTTAATATTCGTGTTTGTGTTTCATTGACGCGTTTCATTGGCAGGAACGTTGAAGTTTGGGTGCCACCTTCATAGCCATTAGAAATTATTTAATACACAATGGAAGGTGAAAATAACATATACAAAATAAGTATGGATGTCTTGGAGAAATGGCAATTCCTTTTACACTACTTTTATGGCCTGTAAGGGATATTTTTAACTGTCTGCTGGCCAAGTCCCATACTCTAATGCGGCGATCTGAGGAACCTGTTGCAAACCACTGGTTATTTGGCTCAACAGCACAGCAGTTTACCCCACCTGAATGACCACATACGACTGTTTATAGTTTCCAAGGGGCATGCCACTTTGGTTTTGACATAGTAGGCACTTTATTTGTTGGACCAGCATCAATTCTTAAGGGTATGATTGGATAATTTGGATTTTGACTAAACGATTATTATATCACACGGTTTATTTATGTGAGCCGCGTACACAATGAGCGTCCCGGAGCTTATCGCGGCTAATTTGCTGCCAATTTAATTGTAAGTTAACTAGTAACAGGTTAGTAGAAAATATTATTTGATATTTTTAAAGTGAACACACAAACACGATTGATGAGTGACTTCGTTGCTTGCTCAGCGGTTACAATTGAGAAACTGAGTGTCGCTCAGCCTTGCCACGCACATGAGTCATGAGCTCAGAACTGGTCATGAGCTGGTCGTAGTGTCTGTCTGACCATAGCGAGCTCGCAGCGATCCCAAATTTTTGTGGACAAAAGTGGCATCCACCGAAAGCGCGCAATTCAAAATCTAGACGCTCGAATCTTCTATCTTCCATATCTGTGGTGGAAAGGGCTAACGAGATAACTCCACTTTTTTCGAAATCGAGTTTATGACGTGAATTACCTATATGTTATGTCTACTTTAAGGTACAAGTGTCACAAAAGCTGAAAATAGCACCTATCGTTCAATATAGCACAGTGCCTAACGAGATAAGTCCACCTTTTCGAGTTCCAAAATGCGATTAAGAGTCTACATTGATTTGAAAATGGAAGAAAATGATATTCCAACATACAAATGGCCCTCACACTCTTCGAATGTTGTGAATTTCACTATACGATTGGTACATTTGATACACGAGGGGCTATTTTCGCGATTTTCAGTGTGGCCTTTTTTCGTTGCAAGATTTGAGATCCGACACCAGTATAACGTTAAATGAGCTATTTTATCAATGAAAAATCATTACATGAGGTTTTGATTACAAACTAAGCGAAATTATCGATATTGAAAAAAGTGTGACCGCTAAAAGTGGACTTATCTGCTAAGCGGGGAAAGGGCTGACGAGATAAGTCCATATTTTTTGCTCCGTATCATCACTATAATGCGTCTTTCAATTTCACAAGTACATAGTTCAAAAGATGCCTCATAATAGGTAAAAATGTCATAGGTACGGATTTTTAGTCGTCCGCGTCTAGCTAGGCCCTCGTGCGCAACTTAAAACGCGTTTTTCTCGAAAACACGAAAAATGGAGTTATCTCGTTAGCCCTTTCCACCACAGAATATTATACATGGGCCAATTCAGAATTTTTTAAATAAACCTGCGGACGAGGTCCACAAATTTAATTTTGACACTAAAGAACGATTTCTTGAATTTTTTCAGAATTTTTCACTCATGCCGCTGAAGACCTGCTTTGTTTTTTAACAAAAATAATTTTTTTAAGGACGATGCGGAGCCTCAAAAAATCTGGAAAACATTTTTTCTTATTTTTTTCACCAAAATTCATAATCTCAAATTTGTTCAGATTTTTTAATTGAAGGTGATCGCATCTAAAGCCGAAAAACGCTATTTTTAATGAAAAAAATTTCCTGGAACCCGGAGGTTCTGTTAAAAAAATTTTAAAATTCTTTTTTCTAATTCCTTGTGAAATTTTAATAAATTTTGGTCTTACGATTTTTTTGATTGAGGCCTACTAGCTCACTCCAGAGCAAGACAAAGATTAATGCGAAGTTCTGAAAACATTTGAAAAAATGGAAGTGTTATGAATTGTTCATTTGTTTCTTACCTAAAAATACAGCTCTTCACAGCGGTGGCGTAATGAGGAAACAATTGTGAACAAAGATACAGCTTAATACGATCATAGACGTTGGATTCTGCTCTAAAGCTCAGTTCTTTTTTACTATAATATCTATCTTAGTTAAAAGTATGGGAACAAAATTATCCATTGATGCCTGATTCGACAATTCATCACAGAATTTTTTTGAGGAAGATGTAGAACGAAATTTAAAAATTATTTTTTTATTAAAATGCTGCATTTTAGGTAATTTCGATATAGACTTTAATCGAATCATTATGAAAATTCAATCACACTTTTATTTGGTATTTTTTAGACGATAATGAACGTCTATTTTGGTACATATACTTGGGTCTTTTTTCTTTTAAAAGTTATTTACAAAGATACAAACACATGTTGCGCAGTCATTAAAGTTAAAAACATATTTACAGTAATTTTCACATCGTGTAAATGTACAATAATCAAATATTTAAATGGAAAAACAATATGCTCTAATGAATAAAATGCCACGAAAAATAATATACGAATATTCATTTAAAACTAATGTACCATATCATAAATATTGCTTCTTTGGTTTACTTTTAATGCTTATTTTGTAAAAAAAATGTCGGTATATAAGGCACTGAATCGAACGCGAAATTTGACTAAGTTATGATAAAAAATCAAGTTGACATTCTTCAGCGATTTGCATAAATTTTCAATGCAATTGATTGGTCAATTATTTCCATCGAGCCGATTTACGCAAGCCGAAATATCGCGAGTCTAAAGGCGACGATGGCCGCACAGAGCATCTTGACCGATCGCGAGCTGTCAGCAGCCTCGGCAGAATTGGCAGCCGAGACGATCCTCGAGTGAGCCACCTCGGCGCGAGTGAGTGCACTGAGCGGCACCTCGAGCACGATTCGGGGACTGCGCTCGGCCACGCGGCTCACGAGCTTCTCGATCTCGACGACGCAGGCCGACAGCTGCAGCTCCGACGGACTCTTGGACACGGCCTGGTTCACGAGGAAGATGTCGCCCTCGGGGGTGATGGAGGCGCGCAGCGAGCACTCGGCGACCCCCAGTTGCCGCGACAGTCCGTCGATCATCGCCTCGAGCGTCACAACCCGCTTGTCCGACTCGTCCGTCAGCTCGTAATAGATGCGGTCCAACTGCAAGCAAAGATGAAATTAATCAGAGTCGGAGCGACAAGACTCGGGGCCTTGGATCCCCGCGTACCTGTTTCTTGGAGTAGAAGAGCCGCGCGGCCCCGGCACAGACGGGACAGCAGGCGCCGGGTGGAGTGACACCGACGCAGCGTTGGCGCGCCAGGGGCGGACAGGCGACGGCACTGCCGCACCTCGGGGCCGGTAGGTCCGAGACGAGGCCGACGGCCACACAGGCTCCCGGGTAGTCGAGGGCGACCCGCTCGGCCCAAGCGGCGCACTCGCTCGCGTACGTCTCGCCGTTGACGCCGCAGACGGGTCCGCGTAGACTGCAGCCGCGCAGGCAGGGACCCCGGTAGCCGAGCTTGGCGCCGGAGCGCAGCAGAGAGCACAGAGACGAGTGTTGGCGGTGGTCCGTGTCGCAGACGGGGCCTGTTCGCGAGAGCGCGCGTGAGTGGATTTATCCTCGACGATCTCAATCGAGATCTCAATCGAGATTCAAGCGGCCATACCTTTGGAGAAACGATCGTCGAGAGCCAGGCGCTGCTCGCACATCTTGAGGCTGGGCACGCACTCGAACTGGTCGCAGGGCTTGTGAATGGGCGCCAGGCAGACCCGCGGCCGCCTCAGGCAGATCTCGCCGGCTCGGCAGGGATTGGCCGCGCAGGGCTCTCGGGCCGAGCAGCTGTTGTACTCGACCTCGTTGGCCAGCAGACCCGAGCACTTGGCCAGGCAGGCCGACGAGTAGGTGAGTCCGAGTCGGCCGCACACCGGCACGTAGTGATTCGGACAGTCGCAGGGGAGCTTGGGCTGGTGCATCCTCAGCTCGCTGCAGCCCTTGCGCGAGCAGGTGACCTCGCCCTCGAGGCAGTGGCAGGGCTTGCAGTCGAGGTAGAAGGTCGAGCGATGCGCCACGAAGCTGCCCTGCACCCAGCAGCTGCTGCCGCCCCCCGAAGCCACGCTCGAGGCCTGGACCGAAGCCAAGCCAGACGTGGAACAGGCGAGATCGCGGCATCTCTCCAGCTTGCCCGTCGTCGAGCAGTGGCAGAGCCGATAGCAGCTCGGATGTTCGTAGCGCGGGATTTGCACCCAGCTGCCGGCCGCCACCAGCTGCTTCGACATCTCGCCGAGACTGCAGCCTGCACGCACGAAACATCATAATAACGGCGTCATTTGTAAGGATCGGTATACGGTTGCGTATCGACAATTACCTGCTGTACAACGGAAAGGCCGCCTGTCCTCCGGATGCACCGAGCAGATCTGGCCCTGCGGGCAAGGATTGCTCCTGCAAGGCACGTTGATGTCCTCCTCGATCTTGGTGGGCGGTGGCACCAGCAGCTCGTTCTGCTCCCTCGGGTCCTCGAGGAAGGGCCTGATCGAGACGCAGGCCATGTCGGCTTTCAGGGGCGAGAGCTTGGCGCAGAGAGTGGCCGCGTTGTGGCCCTTCACGGCCGACCAGTCGACGCATCTGGTCAGCAGCTCGAGGCAGTCCTCGCGGCAGAGTCGGGTCTCGTGCGAGCGCGACTCGCAGGGTCTCAGCTGCAGGAGGCAGGCGGCCGCGCGCAGCGTCTCTTCCGGGCAGGAGGAGGCCGCCCTCACCGGCACCCCGAGGCCGCTTATGATGCCGCCCTGCATCCACAGGTCGGCCTCCCATCGGGCTGACTCGTCGGCTGCGGCGTTACACGTTCTGCAACGATACATTTTTTTCTCCCTTCATTCGTGCACATATTATAGATTTTCACGTTTACGCGTTGCACACCTGAACAGTGTTGTTGGCCGGTCGTTGAAGCTCGAGCAAAACGACAAGCCGGAGCAGCCGATCTCGCAGGCGTCCTCGGTGTCGTCCAGGCAGCGTCTGAGCTCGCCCTCGAGGTTCGAGGCCAGACAGGTCGCATCGAGCTGCTGCCAGGCCGACCAGTCCGAGTGGAAGGCCCTGCGGCAGAGGCTCTGACAGTGGGCTCGCGAGGCTTTCGAGCAGCAGGCCAGCTTGGCCGCGTTCAACGGCAACTTCTGCGGCTTGTTCGGAGACGACTTGAGGAAGCAGCTCCAGAAAGGGCTGTGCGGCAGCACAGGGCCGCAACGCTCCTCCAGGGCGTCGAGCACCTCCTGAATCGACGAGATCCCGTGCAGCGAGCGCCGACACACGTCCATGCAGCCTGGCCTGGTCGCTTGCTCGCAGCAGTGCATATCTGCCAACGGAACGATGGAATGGAGTCAGGCCTGCTGGACAAAAACGAACCCGATAGGCTCGATAAAACTCACATGTTTTTGGGTCTTCGGGCGATTTGTCCTGATCCAGGGCAGGCTTCATGCAGCTCGGAACCTGGTGGAAGCAGCCCTTGACGTTGTAAGCCTTGAGCGCCTGGCTGCGCTTACTCGACTTGGACAGCAGATCCCGGCAAGTGGCGCGACACGAGGCGTCCTGGACGCTGGCGCAGCACTGCTCGGCCTCGTCGCGTCGGTCCAGGCACTCGGCGAGCCGTGCTTCGTCGCTCCAACGACACGAGCCGCCGAGCTCGCGTCTGCTGCCGACCCGGGCGCAGCTGGCCCGGCAGAGCTGACTGCGCGCCTCGCGACAGCATGCTCGACCCGACCAATTTTCCTGCTCTCGTGCCTCTGCAATATTACAATCGGCGATTGACAAGCACTGTTATTTATTTATTTTATTTTTTCGAGGATCGCACGGTGACCCACTCTCCACTTAAGATATGTAGTATAGGTACTTGGACGCACTCGAATTTGGAATCAAGTGTCCATTCGTTGCAGCTTTACAAGTCCTGGATACGATTCAATGATTAATGGTAATATGTAAAGTGCATCGAGGCAGCGCCGCGTGACGTCTCTATAGAGTACGACGGATCTCGACACGCTGCGAGCGAGCGAGTCTACTTGGGCCGTATCGGGCGCGCGCGCTCCGTCTCGATCTCTCCAAAGTCTCTCCGCGTGCTTCTCCGAGTCCCTCGCTCCCTCGACGTATCTGTATCTGCATGTGTCGCGCTGCGCCCACGCGCCTTTTTTTGCCACTTGCGAGACCGAGAGACATTGCTTGCTGCGATTCGACCACGCGCTTCTGCCATGTAGCACGAGATCGCGTGTCGCTCGTCCGTCCAAAGAGAGAAAACAAATCAAATGGAATGAAGTAAAAAAATGCGTCCCCGATGCCGAGTCGAATTGGCCCAGCGTGAAGCAAATCGCCTATATGGGAGTTATAAATTTTACACGAGCCCCTGCGAGTTCCCGTACGATGTGGTATTTTTATCGGAAATTAAAAGATTTTGATTTGATACATTTAAAAGTATTCTATTTATAAGGCTAAGAGATGCTTTTCATTGACACCAACAGCTGATTTCCCGGCATATAATACATATCGAATGAATGGCTACGGTTATCTGTTGTATTTTATTTTAATTTCCGCTTGATTTTTACTTAAAATGAAGGTTGTCTTGTAAATGCATGTCCGTGGATGAAAATGACTCGTAATAATAAGTTTTGTAACTATTTTATAAACTATTAATAATTAAATTTATAAAATGTATACGACATAATTAATAATAAGAATGGCTAAAAATAGCAAACACTTTTACCTCTTAAAGTTGAGTTGACGCAATTCCAAAACTCCACCTGAAATAAGTAAAAACGATTTAAAATATGTATACAAAACGAGTCAAATACTATGCTTTAGTGGGATAGATAGATACTTTGAGATAGCATGAAAATATTTGAAGCACTCGGATTGCATGGAGTTTCGTATATGAGCAAAGTATCTCAATGAGCGATCAGAAGGAACGAGGACAATATTTCGAATGACAATTTTTATTTTTCAATATCAACTTACCAAATCAAGAGAGCAAACTTGTGAAAATGTCCTCGTTGCGTTCTCCCTAGCCAGAGAGTCGTCCGCCAGGGAAGCCAGTGATATCTGTCGAAATAAAGTGATTTTATGCAAAGATGACTCGTCACATCCGCGAGGATTGAATCAATTCTGGCGATTGAGTCGTTATTATTCAAACGCGTCAATTTCCACGAAATCGTTAGAATTGAGCACGTTGTTTGCGCGAACGAGAATCGTGAAAAATAAGTTATTCAAGAAGGTGCGCCTATTCGGTGGTGTGCATCTTGAAAGCAAAATACAAGAGGCAAGTGTGCACGAGCTGCTCATCGTTGCATGCCAATGTCCCGGGCTCGATTCACGCGACTCTCGAAGGACGAGCGCCTCATTGACGATTCGAAACGCGCCAGTTGCCGTCTCTGCATAGCGTCGTAGAATTTCAAAGCTTCAGCATCAGTCGTTTGTCGAGGCAAATAAAAAACTAACAAAAGTTACATATTTAGCATGCATATGAATAAAAATGCAGCTTTTAGTCTGTCCGAGAGAAAGTGCCAGAGAGAGAAAGAAAGATAGAGAAAGCTTGGCAGCGTCTCTTCCGACAATTTGTCAGTCTAAAGAAAAGATTTACGTATATTACGCTTGGCTTTCATGTGCGAAGGGCCTCGGTGGCCAAAGAGTAAGTGCAAAGAGCTTACCGGTTGGTCGCGTGAGAGCTCGTTGCAACTCTCGGTCTCTCTGTACTCGGCGAACATCAAAGGCTCGAGCGAGACTCGGCCATCGAGCGCCTCTATGCAGCTACCATATTTGTATTATTTTAAATGCGAGCGAGCCCGCCTCATGTTTATTTATACATAGATATATGCGTGCAGCCTTTCAGAAAAACAGCTTTGTCCCGCATTTCGTGCGCTTGCAGGAGAGCGACGATCGTTCTCGGCCTCGCTACGATTATCAAAGCCCGACAATTAAAGATCTTAAGCCTTTGAGTCTAGCGTCTCATCAAAAGCCGCGAAAATAGAGTCGTCTTTTTTGCGGTTCAGGGACAACGGCGAGGATGCTTCGCTATTTTCTAAATGATTTTTTTGCTCTCAGCGTTTGATGCTTTCCGCGGTGCAACGATTCCTAATGTACAAAGTTAATATTTTTTTATGATAAAAAAACAGAAAGCACTTGGAAGAGTTTTCGAGATGTCATAGTAGGTTTACACCGCTTTGATGGACCTATATACTGTACCTTGGAGCAGACGCTGCGACATGGCTCCTGAGCTATCAAGCAGCAGCGCATCTCTGCAACAGAACAAATGAACAATATTAAAATTAGGCAGCTCGTATGCGAGTAAGCGATAGATATTCCATGATATAAATGTAGTGGCAACTAAGAGATGAAAGAGTCAGATATTCGAAGCGAGCTCGGGACAGCCGATCGACGCCGCGAGCAAGAAAGGCAATTCTCAATTTGAGTCAATGAGGAGCAATTAGAGGCAAATTGAGCATCCGACGACGCAGCGTCGGACTGACTCGAGTCTTTTAGAAAGCCCACTGCTGCTACTACTGCTGCTGCTGTATTATATGTCACAAAAATACGCAGCACTTGTGGCTTCGTATGCGTTATAATACCGATAGTGCGCAAACGTTTTTGTTTCGCGACAACGGCGTCGATCAGTAAACACTCGCATTTGTGTGGGAAAGCCCGACTCGGTGTCGCAAATTTCAATATACATATATGTGAGAGGTCACAACCCGCAGGCTTTCGTTTGGTCTAGCTGCACACACAAGGGCCAAATCGGAGGCGTCACTTCCAAACGAGCCGTTCGAATATTTCGCGCGTACGCATACATGGCATCTATTTTCGGTTCACGCCGATCTGCAGCTATAAGACGCCCCAAGTGGAGACGACGCTAAGTGCATACATTATATTATACTTGTATATAGCGAGGTCGCTCGAAAGGAGCGAGACTCGAGCCGTCCGAGGCTTTTTTTAAATATAGCTGCTCGAGGCGCGTGTGTCAACGACGGCGGAAATGCGCTTCGCAGTTTATTCGGGCTTTTTTCCATCGCCGGCGACCAAGACCCGCGACCTCAGCTCCGTCTTGTAAGTAAGACTGCTAAGTGCTCGTGTACTCGAGTTTGAAAATGCATCGAATCGTTCTATCTCTAAATCTGAAATAATAAAATAGCGCTAAAGACCTCTCGACTTTACAATTATTGGTTTTACAGGCTGTTGTATGATGGTTTTTTCGGGTTCGAGAGTCGAGCTTGCAACATAAAAAATCGTTGCAATTCAATAAGGAAGAAGCATCCATAACGAAACTCCTGGTAAAATATACCTCTCGTTTGTACATTTCACGCTGGGCGAGAGAGAGAGAGAGCTCAAGTACGGAACGTCGTGTTTATTATACGGGTGGCGGGTGGCCTGTGCGAGCGCGTGTACGTGTTTGTAGCATGTATATCCATGCTAAGCAGCATGATGCCAATCCCCGTATACATTCAAGTGTGAGCGAGCTGCAGACCAATGTCAGACGCTGTAAATTTTATCCGGACTGTATACACGAAAGGTAGGCTCGTAAATTGTCCAATGCGCGAGAGGAAGACTCTCGGTGGCGATCGACCGAGCCATGTGAAGCGAGGGAGAGTGAGTAAGAGAAAGAGACACAGAGAGAAAACAGGAGACTGCGCGCGTTGTCAACTCGAGGATTTTGAGATCCTTGTTGAACCTCGTCTTTTAAAGTACAATCATTTAATTTAAAGAGATACTATTGACAAGTTTTCAGAATCATTTGTAATTAACGGATCGAGAAGAAAATGCTTCACTGTGTTAATTAATTTTTTCACATAGGCTCCACGCGATTGAAGTAAATTTCCGGAGAGCTTTTTATCGAGAGTGCGAAGTAATCAACGACAAATTAGTCAATATCAATTCATTTACGAGCAAAAGTATACGCTGCGACTTTTAGCGCTTGCGGGCCGAGAGGCCGGAAAAAGCACTAGATTAATGATTCCGGATATCCGGTTTTTTGTCTCTCCGTGCATAATGAGTATGCGTGTTTTTTTGTGACTTTCGTTGCACACCGAGGCCCGAAACTCTTCATCTCGTACGCACTACGAATGCATCCATTGGGGACCGATCTCAGATACATTTGCACGAGGAAAATATCGAGTACAGCCGTATTACGGATCGGCAGATCGTGAGAAAGTGAACATATAGATGCGCTTGAAAAAATTGAAGACGATCAAAGTCGCGCTTGTGAATAGAAACAGAGTCGTCGAGAAAAAGAGAGAGAGAGAGAGATCAACAACGTCGTCGCTCGGGAGGCTGTAACAATAATAAAAAGGGATAACGAGCCGAGGCGCGCGTATATGAAGACGCGCCCGGCCGAGAAATAATATGCCGTATGTATACAAAGTGCAGAAATATATAGCCATGCCGAGCGCGAAAGAGCAGATATAGTCACATACACACGCACAATATGAGCCAGTGGATCTGCCGGAGAGGCAGTTTTATATATCGCGTGTATATGCGTACGCTACGCACACAGGCACCATGTGGCGGAAATAAACTATCGCAAATTGTGGCGCATATATACTGTCCCCGATGCGTACATGTCGCGTTGCTGCTACTACTACTGCTTTTGCTGCTGCTGCTGTTGTCACGTGACTCGACGACGACGGCTATAAACGTCGAGAGAGCGAGCGAGAGAGAATCGCGAGAGAAGCGAGGAGAAAGATCCTAGCCAGATAAGACATGTGAAGAGAATGAGAATGGGGAATTAACGAGCGACAAGAAGAGTAGGATGTATGGCATACGTGCAGTGACGCTTGACTTGGAGTGGCTGCATCATTTTTTTCTCGCCTCTCTGTCTTCCTCTTTTACTTTTGTCAACCGAGTCATCGAATGCACTTTGCATGCCGAACGATAGCAACATCGGGATCGCTTCGTTCCCGAACACCGCAGCCCTCCGAGTACGGGCCTCGTGACTGCTGCGAGAAAACAACGAGGCGAAAAGAAATTCGGCTGCGGCATCGGAGTAAGCTCGCAAAAACTTGAACGACGGAGAAAGCCACAAGTGCAATGAATCCGTCCCTCGTGCCGCGCGTCTAGTGTGGCGGAGCTCGTAATATATTTTTGCCTTGGCGACTCTCGCGACAAGTATATACGCACAGAGGGTGTGAAAACGAGCTTGTGCATGGAACGCTGCGGTGTGTATATATGCCGCACAGCTTCTCTGTTTCTCTGCGCGACTGCCTAATGGTCTTCTTCTTTTTTTTCTTTTCTTTTTCTTCGTTCGTTTCTTTCATCGTTTTTTCGTGGGGCAACAGCAGCAGCCGGTCGATGTCAAAATTAGATCGCGTCTCGCCTCGGAATCTTGATTAATGAACGCGTCTTTTCCATGCAAAATTTCTCAAGTTCAAACGCTCGAGTCTTTCTCTGATATTTTGACGATCTGCAGCAGAAAGCGCGCAAACTTTTTATTCGCGCGGCGTTTGGACAGCTGTCAATTTGGGACTGGTAGCGCTTCGCTCTCGAGTCCACGCTTCTGCGAACTTTAAATACATATAATACGGGCAACGCATGTGATTTTGCTATTTCGTTCAATCATCCGTGGTTATCGATCATCCGAAGAGACACCGAGTAAATAATGATCAACGTTCGTTGTTTAAAGGCACGCGTATTCGTCTTCCGCAGTCCCGAAGCTCGTGCTACCGAGGTAGCGAGTAATCTGATTAAGAGCCTGGCATGTATAGATATGGAACTTACCTTGGGCCGAGGCCGAGCCAACTCGAAGCCATAGCAGCAACAGGATCGTGATATAGTTCCTAATCATCATTGGGCTCATATCGTCATCGCGAAACAGCTGCACTGCACACACCCACCCACACTTTTTTCTCCCGTCGTTAATCTCACGGCAGTTGCGTCGCGAACAATAAATCGGTATTATCGGTACCGGCTAGCAATTGAGCTCGCGACTCGTTACGCACTCGATAGGATCGAGTCGTCGTCGCATGATGCACGAGCTCGCGGTACGAGCGCGCCTCTTCGACTGAACCTTTCGAGCTTTTGACTTTCGATAGCGGCTCTCGTGCGCGAATGCGTGCCGTCATTGGCGCCACTCGAGACTTCTGCTCTTCGAGCCCCCTCGCGAGCTTTTTGGGGAAGGGATAGAACGAACCAAGTGAGCGAGAAAGAGAGCGTAGAGCCACGAGATTGTCATCGTGGGCAGCGCGTGGGCGGATCGGATCCGGAATCGTTCAGGCCGGCCCACGTATGTACGCATGGCGAGGGATGAGCCGATCTGTTCGCACAATGCTAAAATTCGAGACAAGCCGTCCAAAAATCGTCGATTTGAGTAAATCTCACCTTAATAGAAATACTCGTATTATATGAGATCTTATTTCGTTACAGCAGCTGCACCATTCCTTCTTCGATCGCTCCATTGGCACTTGACACCTTTGTATAGGTACCCATATTGTTTGGCTGGCGATTTTATCGTCGTCACTTAAGATTCTGATTGACGCGCTTAAGCCCATAAGTATTCGATAATTTGGTTTCTGCTTTGAGAACGTTTCTATTATTGATTTATTAATTTAAGAACTTTCAAACGCTGAGCTTAAATTACTTGAAATCTACTCCTTTTTATTTCAAAAAACATTTGTTACAGCAACTGCTGAGAGTGCGTCAAATTTTATATAGTGGCTGCATTAATAAAAACGTATCTTTTAAAAACAAAAAAATGAATACTATTCATTTTTCTGAAAATATATGTAATTGAATACATGGTATTTTTTCATATTAAAAAAGTCATGGTCAGTATTGTTACAATTATTTATAAAATTTTTCAATTTTGAACCAATTTTTTATAAAATAGCCATCTGTGGTTACTGACCAATTTATTTTTACCATTTCTGATAATACAGGTTTTAGTTATTTGTAAGTTCCTTTTTATACTCGGCTTTTCACAAAATAATTTTTTAAATATTTGGAATCGCGCAGGAACAGAAGGTACTGTATAGGTATTTTTATTTATTAGTTTATTGAAACAATTGAAGAATTAATTTTGATTGATAAATATTATAACTATCAATTTTTTAAAATATTATATTGGATTATTATGCCACGTTATATATTTTACGCCCCAAGTCGAAAATGAAAATTCTACGACGACGTCTGGCAAATAGTTTTCTTCGTATTATTGATGCACTAATGAATATCCATGTCATAAAAGTTGATATTATTTAACGGAACAAAGACAACGAATAAAATGAGATTCTGCACTTGGTAAGTCAAAGCCCAAACGCTTTAGCTAGTGCATTGATTACGAGACGCCGAGACTCGAAGTTGCAATGTGCGTCGCGCTCTCAATGATAACCCGAGAGCGCAGATTCGCGTATACGAGTTCGGGATATTCGTCCCTCCTGCTTTCGATAACTTGAAGATGAATTGCTTGTTGCGCAAAGCTGCTCAAATGATCGCGTTTATCTATGTTTTGTTGAATAAGTCATTGAATGATAAATGAAGGGATAATCTGACATAATGAATTTTTCATACTCCAGTAAATTCATGAACTGATGAGCCTTTGTTAACTGATTTGTAAAATAACATTCATCTTAGATTGCACAAAATTATATTTACAAAATTTGAAATTGATCGATCGTTAAAACTCGAATGAATCGTGAAGCTTTCGATTTTACTTATCATACATACCATTTTCAAATATCATTAAAAAAAATCAGAGAGTAAATTAATAAAAATAAATCTTTTTTTGTAAGTTTTATATATTATATACAAATTATTATAAAATGATAAAGATATTTGTATTACACGCTTGTTTGTAACAATTATCACAGAGTCAATTCCATAACAAAATAAATCGTGCACGTAAATGATACATAAGAACATCAGTAACAAAAAGAGGGAAAACCATGAAATTGTGTTGAAAGTACAAAAAGGCATCGTGGCCAAGAACCGTGATTACAGTCGAACGAATCATAAAATACTAAGTGATTATTAGCTAACGGACCAACAAGCACAAGACATTCGAACGGCCGAGGATTATAGTTACAAAAATAGTCGTCAATCACCTGGTAAATATTAGAAATGATATTATCCGACCTACAGTAGGAAAAAAGAGACTTAAGTAGTGATAGCTGGAATGATTAGTTTAGTAATAACTGCAATTTTGCAGATGTCGGACGGAGTGCGCGGAGGATGCGAACAGCAAGTGTTTCTGTTTCGAGGTTCATTTAGATCTTTGCCTCGTTGGGTTGCAGAGAAACCAAATTTTCGCTGAGCTCCCAAAATTTTTTGCCCTTTGCAGGATCTTTGACTCCCGACGACAGAGACGTTTCCTAGAAAAGCATAAAGACAATAAATAAGCAATAACTCTACTTTGACAGATAATAAATATCGTTTGCAATTTACCCGACAGTCGAGGAAATATTTGCCGTTGATGGTCTTAAGCTCCTCGGCCACGGCCACGTGGATCGATGTCTGGGCGCCTTGCTCCGGGCTCTTGAAGAAAGCCTTGATGACGAGCCACAGACCCCAGGACAGAGGCGCCGGTACATTGCGCCAGATGCCGCTGTCGATCATGCCGGGATGCAGACAGTTGGCCGTAACACCGGTGCCCTCGAGACGACGCGCCAGCTCCAGGGTGAACACGATGTTGGCGTACTTGGACACGTAGTAGAGGTAGGCCGGGAAGCTCGTCGTCGGGTTCACGTTGTCCAGGTTGAGCGAGGCGATGCGATAGAGCTCGGACGCCACGACGACGATGCGACTCGGGGCGGAGCGTTTCAGTAGATCTTCGGAGAACGTGACGATTGTTAAGTCGAGGCTGATCATTAATTTGACTGTGCGTATTATGCGCGACGGACGACGACACGTATAGCAAAGCTTCCGCGCACACGTGTATAATTGTCACGCGAAAAATAGTTGGTTCGACGAAAGATATTCCCACGAAATGAGCTATTTTCCGCTGACATTGGATCTCGTCCGAGTAGTAGCAGCAGCAGCACTTTGGACTACATTTTTTGCGCGCGTAGCTCGGACAAAAACCAAACTCCAAGGCTCTGCGTCATTTAGATCGTCGGTCGAAAACGAAAAAAAAGTCAAAAGAAAAAATTCTTATAATAAGCGCCGTCGATTTGAACTGCATGCGATATTCGGGCTGGCGTATAGCGCAATCTGCGGTCGAGCCAATGCGCGTCGTTAGTCACAGTTGTAATAATAATATATCGTGCGTATGCCTTACCGATTAGCAGATGAGTTAGCAAAAATGGCCCGTAATGATTGGTGGCCATGGTCATTTCAATGCCGTCGACGCTGACCTTCTTGCTGAAAGTGTCGGCGGTGCCGGCGTTGTGGACCAGCACGTCGAGACGGCTCTCCTCGCGGTTGATCTGCTTGGCGAACTGCCGGACCGAGTCGAGCGACGACAGGTCGAGCTTCCTCACGACGATTTGTCCATTGCCGGTCTCCTTGGTCAGTTCCTCTGTCAAAATCACGAGGCACCATTGATTACAGAGTGTCTACTGTGACGCGAAGCTGCTGCTCATATAGTGCGAACCGATGCTTTCGTTAAAACCGTGAGACTATTGGAGAGAGAGATATATAGCAATTGTATATGCACGCGAGTTTTGCAATTGTATCGCGATTACCACTGAATTGGGAATCGATCGGTTGCACAATGGCCTGTCGTCGCGGCGCTATTATTACAGCTTGACAGCTCGACGACTCGTCGTTCGGCGTTGCGCGTCGATTGGCCTGATTATACATAGAATAGATACATTGTAGCTATGTGCGCGTATCATACGGACGTGTCGAAAAATTATTTTTCCGACTTTTTCCGCGTTCGCTTCGTTTGCAAAATTATGTCGGAAGAAGCGCGAATTATGAGAAAATCGAAGAGCAACTTCATTCGTATACGAGACAGCGGTGATTGACCGATCGCGTGCTTTTTTATTCATCTAGAGCGGATACACGATCGAGTTGCCGTTGCTTCCGATACAAGTCTATAAGCATCTCTGCAGTAAGTCTGCGAGTGAACGCAACTTGCTGCACATACCTCGAGCCCAGTCTTTTCGACGCGCTTTTCTAAAGACGATATGTAGGAATGAGAATAATGAGGCTGCTGAGCTCATTTGAGAAATTGCAGCTTTCACCGTGTCGGCATGAGCGAGTGCATGTAAAACTCCGACACATCTCGCGCATCGCAAAGTCCAGCGCGAAATGGCCACAGGACAGGCTTGATTCGGTTACATGAAAAAGATATTCCTAGCGTACCTTTGATTTGGTTGGCTGCGTCGACGTTGCGACAGGCCATGATGAGCCTGGCGCCGCGTTTGGCGAGGTCCCTGGCCGTCTCCTTGCCGATCCCGGAGGTGCAGCCGGTGACGATGCAGGTCTTGCCCTTCATGCTGGCCTTGCTCTTGCAGACGCCGGTGCTGAGGTACACGTAGACTTTGAGCAGGACCAGGAGCGCGACGATGCCAAGCCCGATGACGACGATCGCCAGGCCGAAGATCGCTGCTATCGTCCAGGCGTTCAAATTCAAGCTGATGGAGCTTAGGTCTATCATGATGGGCGCGAGCTGATGAGATATATTATGAATGCTGATGAGCGAGTTTTTCGCAGCGAAACGAACGAAGCGCGAACTGAGGCCGAGTGAGCGAGACGAGATCGGCAGTGCCACTGGCTACGGCTCCCGATATGCTTTCCAAAACTTTCTATAATACGCGCGAATGTGAAATGATTTCGAGCGATGCGCGATAGGCAGTATACACTCGCCGGGATGACTAACCGGTTTATCGTGGGCCGCGCGCAGCTCGTGCTGCGGACCGAAGAAATTGCGCCGCGCTCGCTCTGCGGGGGCCTTTCGCCGAGCGAGGACCTCTCGCACACACGTATACGATATACCTGTACGCACCGTATCGTTATACGTGTTCGACGCGATCCAGTGAAATTGTGCTCCAACAGCCGGACCGAAGAGCGCCAGAGTCTCGCGGATTTTCTTCTAATGCCGAGAGTTGCGAGTGTTTCATTGAACAATGAGAGATGCTCGATGGGACACGAGACCATGATAGATAGATGAAAAAACCAAGAACTGAGAGCTTACCGGCTTACCTGTACCGAACGATGTCACAGTGTGTGTGTGTGTGTGTGCGTTGCTTGCGTGGACGATACGCGCAGAGATATAGTCACCTCCGTGAGCGATACTCTCGGACTGGATTGTCGCGGCGCACACACCTGCTGATTCGCCGTGCGCTGCGGCTACTGCTACGTACACTGCTGTTGCTGCAACGGAGCCTCCCCACCAGCTCGTATATGCTTGTGCGTTTGCACCTATTTGAGAAGGCCTATGTGTATTATGCGCTCGCACGCGCTTATATTCGCTGGTCATCTCAGCTGTTTATAAACAAATGTACGACCCAACGGTATCGACTGTAATTACTCCGCGTCCCTAACAGTTGACGTTGATTACCATTTTGCTGTAGAGTAGAGTCTTTTGCGTTCGTTTCCTTGCGATTATTTTTTTATTTTGCATGCCCGTTACAAACGTTCATAAACGTTGGTATCTGATCTAGCAAAATAATTGTCGCCAACTTTCGCTCGAGCGTGTGCGAATGGAAAAAAAAGAAAAGATTTTTTTCTGTTTTTTTTTTCATCGATTAGTCTTTTTACTGTGTTATTTTTCATTGCCAGTAATAAGAAAAAAAATCTGCATGTCTTGTTTATAAATTTATTTAATAATAGCTTTGAGCGATGAAGTAAAATAATTCAAAAAGACGATGCAAAGCACTCGAGATGCCTTGGCATAAGTACCATACGATGAATTTAGAAGCGAAATTTTTCTCGCGCTAACTAGAGTTGCATACGCGTCCTCTTTTTGAGGGCCGCGTTCACGGCGTTCGAGATGTTCGGATGCCTGGCACCACTCGCCGGAGAGTCCATCATAACGGAGACTCCTTGCAGTTGCTGGTGGTCCAGATGATTTGTCAACGTAGCTATTTTCATGTCTTTGAGCTTCATCGTGCCCTCGAGGAATGCGATTTTGTGACAGAGTGTCTTGATGACGTCAGACTTGACGTTGAGGTCGTTGCGAGCTTGTTCGTAGGATTCTCGCAGGTTCGCTAGCTCATCTTGCTCGAGCTCTGAGAATACAGACGCGCAGATGAGCGACGATTGATTTACCCCTTTGTTTTTTTTTTGCCCATTTTTTGTACGTACCTTCCTCGGTACGGATCGTCCGAGTTTCTTTTTTCACGGGTTGGCACGCGTCGCACGCGTCTCGACTGGAGAACCATCTCCAAAAGCACAGAATTGCTAGCAAAAATCGAAGAATCGCTAGCACCGCGCCCAACAGAGCCGCACCAATTCTTACGAAAAACCACCGTCGGCGAACTGGTTCCTCTTGAAGCGAAACAGCCTTAGCCAGAGTGGCCCGAGGAGTTAATGTGTCTGCCTTCTCCAACTCTATACTCTCTCTATGCTCCGAACGCGGCGACTTACCTATCATATTCAAACAGAGTGCTGGTTATCGAAATTAGCCGATTCGCATCTAATGACTTTTTTCCACAAAGAAATTCTAATTTTAAGTGAAGATTGGATTAAAACTCATTGTGTACCAGCGGTCACGACATTATCGCCTCTTGTCAAAGCTTGCTGCTCGACATTTTTCGCGTTAATGGCCATTTGCTTTTCACGAAAGTCGACGAGTAGCCTGTCAATGACGCCCGGTTGTGAGTGGGCCAAGTGTTCGATGGTCTCGGCACTGAGACGCATATCGATTTTCATCAAGACCTTGCGATTTAGCGTATTCCAGTTGTCGCGCTTCGTCTGTATGCTGTTACCAGGTACATAATTGTGTTTCGCCACTAGATTCGGGTAATAAAACTTGAGGATTTCCGCCATGAGAACTGCAAACAAATAGAATCACAAAGCTGAGTTTACCATGGCTTTTATCGAAAACGATACGTGAAGCAGATTGCGTACCGGCATCGGAAAAGTCCCTGGCGAGATTTTTCGTTGCCTTTGACAGCGGTATTCCGTCGATCCATTCGAAAATATCTTCTATCCTCGCGGCCTCGGGGATGCGTTCCGACACGTCCTCACGGCTGCCGGACAACTGCTGATCATCTTTCGTTTGTGGCGCTTTCATCCTTATGCTGTGCGCCGACAAGTCTTCACCGAAAATCACGGTCGCATCGTTTTCTTTGAACGCGCCAATCGATTGCTTATAATTGCTATTTTTAATGATTCGATGACATTCGTCGAGAATACTGAATGCAAATCGATGATGGACCCACGCTGGCGCGTTCAAACGAGGTTACGTCGACTGCCTTTGTTATTTTCTTTTTCTATTGTGAATAGCGACTTAAATCGGGAGGTTATAAATTCCTAATGAAGATGCATATCAAATTTCATCTCAAAACCATAGCCAATATAACATAAAAATAATGAAACAAATTTCAAGAATTTCAAGATAAAGAACAACTCGTTTTTTTTTATTAATAAAAAGTCATTTATTTTTACTTAAAATCATGCTTTTCAAAAAAAATTTATTCTAAAATTATGAAGTTATAAAATTAATTTTTAATGGCACACTTGCCATTTCCTGCTAAAAATTCATTCCTTGAATTGGTCTGTTTTTCATTTATTTTTTACCTTTCGAAACTTTCGTTATTGTAATCGCGGGTAGAGAAGGTAAAACATTTTCAATCTGCAAAAACAAATTTTTCAAAATGTATAGTGACTGGAAAGATTTGAAAAGTATTAAATTACATCATTGAATTCTTTACCTCAATTGACAATCTTGGAACGAGTCCTAAACTATCCAATACTGGCTTAGATTTTATCTTGCAATTTCGTTTTCCACATTTGATCAAATGAGCCGCTAAAAAATACAATTGATTAAAATTCTATTCAAAGATGGTTTCTAGATACATGTAACTTGAAAAGAATTATACCCATTTTATTTCCGTCCAAGGTTTTATAATCACAAGAACACTGCACTTCGTGGTCTAGAGGAATGCTCAACAACGGCGAGGGAACAACGACACTTGTTAATGGTCGTTCATTATGTATTTGCTTCTGATGTTCTTTAAAAGCTCGCCAACAGCAAGTAACGTACCGGCAATTCTGACACTTCTGCTCGCCACTAAAAGTAGATTAATGTAACCATTAACATGAAAAATAATCAATTATGACAAAAAAATTGAATTAGTAATTACGGATAGTGTTCACGCATATCGACGTCCTCCTCGCATTCTTTACAGCTACTAGTGTATGGTGCATTGACTGTCATAGGTCCACTATACCAACGTTTCACTCTCTCCGTGGGCGTAATCACATGAGCAAAATCATCAAATACGTAACGGTTCACAACATTTCGTGACCGATTAACAACTATCATAGAAGTGTCGTTACTTGAACAAGGCTTCACTCCTAAAATAAAGAAATATAAAGTCAAAAATTTTTATCAATAGTAAAAAAAATTTATAGGAAAATTGACTTACGAGGCCCCGAATTAGCACAATGAAGTTGAACGTGGGCTTTGAGCAAACTCATTTGGTTGAACCAGAGGCAGCAACGTGGGCACTTGTTGAGCTTTTCATCACGCCGAACAATGTGTCTTTGCATATGCATGAGATAAGTATGAACATAAGCTGGATTTGGTGTATTGGAGTTATGCTCAATTAATCGAAAGACTTTGATGCAGAGAGGACACTGTACCTCTTTTCCTTTATCATGTTTTTCATAATAATGATCTATCACATCTCTATGACTGGACGTCCGATAACCACAGCTGTGACAGCAATATGGCATTTCGGACGCGTGATGCATTGATGATAAATGGTTCACAAGTAAATTGTTCGAGCCTGCATTAAATTACACAATTATACAACAAGTAAAGAAAGGAAAAAAAAAGTTCTTCCAAGATTTTCTTACCAAACTTTTGCTCGCAAATGGCGCAAACAAACATATCACTGTCAGACTTGCCAAAGTTACTGTGGCCTTCACTTATATGAACGTTCATTTGATGATTTGAAGAAAAGGTAGTGCAGCAGTAGCGGCAGACTGGTGGGTCGGACTGGCCTGGCACTCGTGCTGGTACATGGCTTATCATATGTTCCATGACTTCAGTATTAGAGGACATTTTTTTAGAACATAGGAAGCACTGTTGCAACAAAAAAAGTTGCATCAAAATGAACAATTAGTTAACAAGTTTTTTTTTAATTTGCGCTTTTTAATTAATAGCTACCTTGAATGAGAATGTTATTGGATCTTTAAGTGGTAAAGGCTTTTCTGGTTGCATAGTAGCATAGAAATATTCTTGAAGTGGCAAATGCTCGGGTCTAGTGTCTTTCGGTATTGGTTGGAGTGCAGGTATTTTCGGTTCCGACGCTGAAGTTGATGCGTTGGAGGGCGAATAAGATCGCTTACGATTTGGTTGGCGTGCCATCATTTGCACAGCTTTTTGAATGGTTGGATCCCTTGGTATTTTTACCATTGGTGGAGGTGCTGGAGTGAAAGCATGACTGCTTGAAGCACTGCTAAGATTTTTATAACTCCAATCAGCAAATGGATTAGCAGCGATCTTTGCCAACCTTTCTAAAAGGTTACACTCTGAAAGGAAACGAGTTGATTAATTAAAATTACAACAAAAAAACTAGAATTTATCAAAGTAAATGTCAATCCTACCTGAATTTTCAATCTTCGTTTGTTCTTGTATGTGGTGAATGATATTATCAAATGCTTTAAGAGACGTTGTGCCAAATTGTTCTCTCCACACTAGCTCATCCAAAAATTGTTGAATCAATGGTCGACTCAACAAACTAAGAGTGTTTTGAAACATTCTCGGCACGATTTTACGCAAATATTCCATGACATGAAAATTTGTAGTGAAATTTTTGGCGCCTTGTTCTCCTAATGCCGATTGACAGACGTTGAAAAAGCCCATTTCATTGAGCGTGTTCTTGTCTACAGTATAGTCGGTTATAATTCTCGATTCTTTATGGACCCATTCTTGCAGTGAGTGTAAGATGTTATCAAAACGTCGCTTGTAGGTCTTGTCGGACTCTGATACCGGTTCGCAGGCACGCAATCGGATTTGTAATGTTTCCGGATCAAGGATTCCAAGAACTTCTACCTTTACCTTTAGCGAAAAAGTTAGTACGATAATTAAAGATGTTAAGCACATAATTTAAAAAAAAAGTAAGCTCATTTATTTTAAAACTGCCTCCATTCTAGGTGCCGTCATTGCACGCCCTCTCTACGAAATTTTGTGAAGTAATATGATATAAACTGACATGAGCTTTTTGCTAAGCATTGTTGTCATTAGCTTACTAGACACGGGGCGTTTTGTATAGAGACCGGCGAGTTACAATCTAGTTGCCTGTCATTGTAGCTTGTAACCTCTACGTGCGTATTTACGATGTGCATTTTTTGAACTATCATAAAAAAGTATGCCTCCAAATCGATTTCGTGTTTGATACTATTATTAATTTGTTATATAATTACGTTCGAGAAACAAATCTCGTCAAACGTACAGAAATATGACGGGTAGTGTGAGATGGGCCTTCAATTTTGCTAAGTGGGAACCATCGGAAAAAGAACTCTTATTAGCTACCTCGTGCATACAACTAGAAGAGAAAATTCGAATAGCCAAATTTGTTTTTCAAAAAGATTTCAAAGCAGCTTTAGTGGGAAGATTATTGACGAGAAAGTTTATTAAAGAGGCGTCTGGATTGCCTTACAATGAAATATGTGTGACTAGAGATGTTAACAATAAACCTATTTTTGAGCATCACAGTGTGCCAAAATTAAATTTCAATGTTTCGCATCAAGGTTCTTTAACAGTCTTTGCAGGAGAAACTAGAAAAGTTAATATAGGTGTTGATGTAATGAAATTAGAGTACACAGGAGGTAAATCAATTGACGAATTTTTCAAGATTATGAATAGACAATTTACAGATAATGAATGGAAGGTAATTAAAGGCTGTTCTTCAAGTACTAATCAAGACAAAATCTCAAGATTTTGTAGGCACTGGGCTTTAAAAGAAGCCTACACCAAAGCTTTGGGAATGGGCCTCACCATTGACTTAAGGAAAATTGATTTTAAAATTAAATCAAGTTTAGAAAAGAATAAAATTATTCAAGATACTGTAGTTTATGTTAACGATGAACGACAAAATTTTTTGTTCGAAGAATCATTAGTAGACAATGAACACGTTGTTACAGTTGCTTTGGAGAATCAGAGTCCATATTCAGAATCTAATTTGGATCTAATGAAATTCAAAATATTAACACCAGCAGATCTTTTAAGGGATGTAAGTCCTCTTTTGCCAGAAGACATAAATTATTGTAAAAACTATTTTTCCAAAGATGTACATCGATAACAAACATACCATTACCAAACTTTTTTAGTTGTATTTTCTTAACATATATATTATTTTGTAATTTTTTTGATTAAATATGCCTAAACTCTTAAAAAACTCTGTATTTGAATTAAAATTGTATTACCTGTCGAAGATTTCCATCCTGAGATGTGGTACCCAAACTTATAACCCCAACTTGAATAATTGAATTTCGTCCTCCCAATTTAGAAGAGTGATTATGAAGCGCAGAAGTACATACACTTCTAAGGTAGGAGTAGAAAGTCTTGACATAAAAATTGGTAACCTTTACCCAAGAAATCACATTCTGTACATTTGTTTGACAAGCCCAATGATATATAAGCTTAACAAGGGCTGTTGGAGAATGAGGTGCACCTTGGAAAATTGATCCACAAAATACTGATACAAAACGTTCAGGACAACACGATGAGATCCATACGTAACCGCCAGAACATGGAAATGTTCCTGAGTCACTGTACATGCCTAGTTTAAGTTTTTGTGTTGGATGTTTATCACAATGCTGTTCAGATCTTACAAGACCTTGCTGAATTAACCATTCAGTAAATTTCGATGAAGCATGCATCAAAGCAGCTTTCACTTTTTGATCTAGAAAAATTGATTTTACAACATGAAGACTTATCAAATTAGAATAAGTAGTTTTGAAAAAATGATAAGTTTATACCTAACTCTCCTCTTTCTTTTTGAATCTGTTGAGGGGTAATATTTTTAGTTTTCAAACTTGGTCGAGCTACCACAACCAATGATGGATATGTTTTTCCTCCATTAACTTTGTTAAAAGAGACTTCTCTACCATCTGGTTGGTTTTTCGTGGACTCATCTATGATTTCACCGGCTAAATAAAATAAAAATGATAAATATATATGTGACATAAAAATTATATTGTAAATAATTATGAGTAATTTGGTAAATATAGGTAATTTTGACTTACATGCAATCTTGTTCCCTATACATATGCAACCAATGCTGGTTTGTTCTGTAGGCCTTGATGTTATTGGTGATGAAGGAATAATGTGATTCTTTGGTAAAGTTTTTACCCGTATTGGTACATTTTGAGGTAATTTTTGAGCTTGAAAAAAATTACATTGAGTATGTATTGAAATACTTTATAAATATTTTCATGAGTATAGAAATGAAGTAATAATACCTTGAATACTCGTTTCAGTAGTAGGTCTCAAAGTTATTGGTATTGTTGTTGTAGATGATGGCTCTTCAATGATATCAGGTTGTAAGAGTGGAACATGTTTTGTTTTACGCATAGGTCTTACTTGTGGTTTAAACTATAAATCAAAAAGTTTATTATAAAAAATTTGAAATAGCAGTAGTTCATTGTTAATTAGTTCATACCGTATTATCAACTTTTTGTAATTGTTTTAGAGCAGGAATAGGGGCCATAGTAGATGTTGCAGCAGTAGTAGTTGTACTTGTCACATTTGTTGTACTGGACATAATTGATGCCGGCGTCGTAACTGAAACTAAAGTACATTTATTTATTGTATATTTATGCATTAATCAATCAATGCATGCTATATTTTAAATAATAATGATAAATACCTTGCTGGGGAGCAACTGTGCCCAATAAAACCGGACCCATTCTTGGATCCATGACAAGTTGTATATTTCCTTGTGGTGTGGCAGTACTATTAATCATGTTTAATTTGATTGGTTGATTTACACCATTTTGATTCTGCAATTTTTTTTCTTAAATTAGTATTAGTAAATAAGAAAACTTTTCAACAAAATATGCTTAACATTACCATTCCAATAACTTGAGCCTGAGATGTTGGCTTAACAACAGTAGCAGCAGTAGGTGGAGCACTGCTAGGTCTTAAAAATTTAATAATAATTAAATGAATGTAACAGAACAGTAAAAAAAAATAAAATGAACTTACAGTTGATATTGATGACCCATTACTGCACCAGATTGGGATAGTAATGTTCCACCATGTTCTTTAACAATAGATTCTAATAATTTTGACACTTTTTCAAAGTCTTTTTTATGTTTATTTTTAGCTGCTAGTTGACAAGGACTTAATTCATCATCAATACATTCCATCTTTAGTGTAATCTCAGGAGGTCTCATTTTGGCAATGGAACTTACAGTCAACCCTCCTTTAGTCATTTCTGTAAAGAAAAGACAGTCATAAAATGAATATTAATATAAAAATTATAATTTTTTATGAAATCACTGGATGTATTAATTTAATAATATATTATTTGTTGAAGTTAATTTTACTTGTTTGCTTGCTTCTGTGCAGAAAGTTAACCTGTCTCGTGGAGTTTTTTTTTTTAAACAATATGAAGTTGCAATATACTCTTGAAAAAAGAAGTCGATTTTATTATGGGACACTAAGCGTTAGTAAGGTACCGCCAGGACCTCACAAGTGAAATTTTTGTATCTTACTGTTCATTTGAAAACAGTAGTACGGCGGCGACCACAACAACAGACAAAACTATATGTACATTGTACGGCACAATGTATTATGTAAATAGTAAGCGCGCGAGAGCCGATACTATTTTTAGATGCTGAATAATACTGATAGTTTAGTTCGTCTGACAACGACCAACCTTTTGATACTTAAATGACAAACAATTAAACATTAACGAGAACGAATAACGAAGATGTTGACACTTTTGCGGGTAAGTTTTTTAAATGGGAGCGCTTGCTTTGGAAGTTTGGTTAGGATCAATGTGAGAAGTGAAATGACGTGTACATTCGCACTCGACTCTATAAATGAAATTCTTCTTCTTGACTCTTACATGGCGGCTATTCTTGAGACAAGCAAGCGCGCTCGAGAGCCAGTTGCAAAATTGTGAGAGTAGATTTTAAAAATTAAAAAGAAAGCATTTCATAAAAAGTGAATCATATTTCAAATATGTTATTCAGGCGAATTCCGGATTCAAATTACTATTCCAATTATTTTCACAAACGATGCGGAATACTTAAATTTTGGTTTTGGTTCCCGCGCTGAATTAAAAAGTTTTAGTTTTAAAATAATTGAAAAGGGTTGGCGGGTGAAGAAAGTCTCAAATGATTTGAAAAACTCAACAGTGTTTCTATTTAATTTTATCGAGTGTTATTTTTTTTCTTAAATTTTTTAGCTCTTTAATAACCATTCTTTTTTTTGGTCCCATGAATAAATCTTCTGGTAAGTTTTCGCTTTCAATTAATTTTTTCTACAGTTTTTCAAGCTTCTATTGTACTTCTTTCTGTGCCAGATTAAAACTATTTAATTAAATTAAAAAAGAAAAAAAAATAGTTACATCACTCTCGCTAGTAAGTATGGTAGCATAGCATCTGCAATTCTTCTAATTGTGCGAATACTATGGTGGAGAATGGATAGCAGCGCTATCATGGATTTTAACCTTATTGGGGATTAAACGATAGTCAGCGCCCTCTGTAAATTCAATGCGGCCGTCCCATAAGAACCTTAGGACCGAGCTGTGATCCAGCTGAAACAGTTTAAGGGCCCTCTACACACACTCTGTCGATAACAAGTACGTAATTATTTTGTACCCTTTTTTTTTATTCTCTGGTCAACCATTGAACTTGAAACTTTTTGGGAGTGATTATGAAACTTATAAAAATGTGCCTCTGGAGCCAGTTTTCAATTAAATGACCGGTACTTTCAAAGAATCTTGATTTTCTATTATCCCCCTTTTATAACCTCAAAAGTAACGTATTCTCAAACAATTAGTTAATAGTATATTTTGTAACAAGTGCGCGAAGCAGTTGACTCATCCAGGAGTTGTTTTCCAGGAGTTGCAAAGACTCCTGGGTGAGTCAACTTCCTGAAAAAAAACAGTTCAAACCAAATTTTTTCGTATGAGAATTAATATAAGAAAGTGTGATGCTGTGCTAACGCTAGGAGCCTGACATTACTTCCTAATACCAGCGGCGGCCACTGAACTAAAATTCTCCCAAATTAAGAAATAACATGAAACTGCTTCCAGACTAAGGGCGTTGCGAGTAATGCACGCAGCAAAATATTTCGATGAGTCACTCTATTCTCTATAAAAAAAATTAACTAAAAGCAATTGGGACTGAGACTTCCCTTATAAAAATTAAATAATAGCCCTCTTACTATGTAATAACTGAAAAGTGTGTTATTTAAGAGACATTTTTTCGATCGCTGGTTTTAGAATGTAAATTCTATAGCGTGAATAATTTGACCGTTGGCCCCACTTCCTACGACAGTAACGCAGATGAGCAGATGTGAATTTTTGACAAATCTGTCGCACGCCATCTATTTTTTATAGGTTATGTTTTTATATTGAGCCAGTTGCATCAAGGTGTCCCATCATTAACCCATTAACGCGCAAAAGTGCAATTTTGTGCATGGATTTTCTATTTAAAAATAATCATGTATAAACTTAAAATCTTTTCTTGAATATCCATACCGGGGTTTTTGGGTATGCTCTTTCAGAATCCGGTGTTATTTTGGTGATAAATAAACATTACCATTGTTTATTTTGTAATTAAAAAAAAAAAAAACCTGATTTTTTGACTTGAAATTTTTTTTCAAAGTCGATTTTCTACCTTGCCCTGCCTTCGGAGGGCGCTCCCATAATACCAGAAATCGTGCTCTTTTTCTCTGAACCTTCAAAAAACGCGCTGCCGCGATTTCTATCTAGCCCCTATATTTCTAAAATGGCGAATTTATATCGAGCAGCGATATAAAAATTCCCTCATTTTTTACTCTGAAAATTATTGACTTTATAAAAAAAAGTTATACAATGAAAAGTGTTTAAATTTATTCAAAGAATACATATGAATTTTTTCAGAATTTTATAAGAATTTTTTCAGAATTTTTTTAGAACATTTTGGATTTTTTTGACAGGCCGGGAAATGGTCGTATTTTGCAAAATTTTCAAAGTGGTCTGAAAAATTCTGAAAAAATTCACACGTATTCTCTGAAGGATTTCAAATGCATTTTTAAACTCCAAATCGTACTTTTTAGTTGATGTTCAACGCATGTGAAATAGTTTCCGAGTAAAAAGTGAAGGAATATTTATATCACTGCTCGGTATAAATTCGCCAGCATACCCAAAAACCCTCGGGTATGGATTTTCAAGAAAAGACTTTATACTTGATTATTTTTAAATGGAAAATTCATGCACAAAATTGCACTTTTGCGCGTTAAGGCTCCTCTATACAGCGGGACAAATACCGACATACCGATATTATTTTGTATTCATTTTTTTTATTCTCTAGACAACCGTTGAACTTGAAACTTCGTGGGAGTGATTATGAAACTTATAAAAATGTGCCAACTGGTCACACCTTGAGCAACTTTTTGCAACATATTTCTATTGTTATTATAACATAAAGTTTAAAATATACTCATTAACGTAATACATTTTTATACATGGTATAATATATCAGTGTGCCGTGTACTGTGTATCAGTGTCCTGTGTATATTAAAATCAATTGTTGGTGGGTATAACTATATGATTAATTTATAACCTGCAAAGTAGTTCATTTTCTTATAGTTTAAATTTCTTATAGATAGAAGACTGAAATAGTTTATACTTTTTTGCTGAAATGCCTAAAGAAAGAAAGTTAAAAAAAAGGTTGTGCCAACCGGACCCTATATTTGGTGTGATCGGAAACTTTGAATTCAAATCGGAAAGTTTACCTTCAGAAGCTGACGTATTGAAAAAATTTATAAGATCAAGAAATGTTTTATCTTTGAACGAAAATGGAAAGTCACAGTCAATTAAAGTTATTTGCGAAAATATTTCGGAATCCATAATAAGTATTTGGGATAAAACATCCATTCCTATAGTAACAAAAACACGAATAGAACAAAAAATTGAAAATTTATATGTCAATAACTATAAAAAGCTTTTGAAAAACTCTAAAACTCAAAGGCAGGGTCTTTCCTACAGTGAAAAAGTTAAAGAAATCGTGTCAGGCTTGGAATCAAAGTGTTTTGATATTGCATTTTGCAAATGTGTGGACTTGTGCGTTTCTCATTTTACCAAGAAAATACCAAGAGAGTTTAAAGATTTTCGAAATAGATTCTCAAGTAACAATTTTTTTGAAGAAAATAGAAATATTCTGGACGATTTTATGTCAGAGTCTGAATTTATTCAAGATGATTTTAATTTAGAAGCTTGCAGTGGTGACCCAACTCCCGCATGCTCACAAAAATCAGTGCATTCATGTTTTGAATCAATGAGCTTAAGTTCGCAAGAATTTCAAGTGGAACAAGAAATTAGTGTAAGACAGCGAAAACAAAATTTTGAGACAATACAAACAAGAACTCGTTTTCGAAATACTGCTGCTACTTGCGAACGATTCAAAATATCAAGTAATGCAGCTGCACATTTAATAAATGCAGCATTTGAAGACGTTGGTCTGCGAAATTTAAATAATACTGTCGGGAAAGCGAAAATTCAACGCGAAATAAAAAAGTTGCATACAGAATTACAAAATAATAAAAATTTAGAAAATGTTGAATTAAAAAGTTTATTCTTCGATGGACGAAAAGATAAAACTATGACGAAAAATGAATTTGGTTCAAAAATTTTAAAGGAAGAGCACATAAGTCTATTACAAGAACCACATAGTACATATCTGAGCCACATTTCAGCAAAAAAAGGAGATGCTGAATCAATTGCAAATGATATAATTGATTTTTTCGAAAAAAATAATATCAGTACTGAATTTTTAGTAGCTATTGGCTGTGACGGGACAAATGTGAACGCGGGAACTAAGAGTGGTATTATTAAACAAATTGAGTGGAAGTTCAATAGACCAATACAGTGGATAGTTTGTTTGTTGCACGCTAACGAACTGCCATGGCGTCATTTATTCGAACATTTCGATGGAAAACCAAGCGGACCTAACTCTTTTTCAGGAGAAATAGGAAAAAAGCTCGTGAACTGTGAAAATTTACCCGTGGTGGAATTTACACCGATTAAATCTCAATTTGCTTACACCGGAGATAGAGACGACTTGAGTACCGACCAACAGTATTTACACGATATTGCTTCCTCATAGAGGAAGCTTTGTGATGGGCTCCATTTCGGCTTTTTTATAGAGTAATCGTAGGGTATATTTAATGATATTTCTATATACTAGATCGAATTTTTGACACATTTTGGAATGTATGTGGGTGTATGCGGCTGTATGGCTGTGTAGAGTGATTCCTTGATAACGGTAGCACGTATCGTGACGGGGGAGGGCTATTTTTTTCGTTATGACATAGGGACGAAGCCAGAAAAATTCATTTATCGATAAACGTAACGTTTTTTTTTCTATTTAAGAAAAAAATTTTTTTTTTTTTGCATTGTTTGTTTGAGATACCCGATAAAGCTGAGAGGCGCTTTCGTTTCGCTTTCGTAATTAGAAAGATGATATTAATATTTTCAAATTATTTTTAAGTTAAAAAAAAAGTATGAGGAAGCTACTTGCCAATACATTGGCAGCGGTTTTTTTATATCTATTCGCGACGGTCATTGTTCACCATCATTAGCTCGGCGGAATCCCGGCAAAATAAACCACGCACGTTGGATCACATTGGCGAATAGAATATTGCGCCTTTACATCGCAACACGAGAACCATCTGATAAGTTAAACGAATTGGCGATTTTCATAATGAAAGTTTACGCTCCATCTTGGTTTCATATTAAAAAAAATCATTCAGTGATTGACGGTGCCAAAAATTTTTATTTTATTCTAAAGAACTCAAGATATTTGAGCAATAA